ACAGAGACAACATTTATTTACAATCAAAACAGCAAAAATTCATAATTTGATAACCAAAAGCAAAATGCATATTGAATATGTTACAATTTCTTGTACATACAAATCTATCTATCTATCTATCTATCTATCTATCTATCTATCTATCTATCTATCTATCTATCTATCTATCTATCTATCTATCTATCTATCTATCTATCTATCTATCTATCTATCTATCTATCTATCTATCTATCTATCTATTACTGGTCAAAAGTTTGGGGTCAGTTTTTTTAATGTTAATTTTTTAATTTTTTGTTATTATTCTTTTTACCAAGCTGGCATTTACTAAATGTTAAAAAAATGTTAAATACTTATTTATTGAGTATTTATTTATTACTTATTGTATGTAGTTTCAAATTTAATTATTACTCCTTCATTATTGCTTTTATTACCACTATTACCTTTAATAATAATATTAATAATAAAAATATCAATAATAATTAATATTAGAGTGATTTCTGAAGGATCTTGAGACTGAAGACTGAAGTAATCAAGCTGAAAAATCATCATCAAAATCACTGGAATAAATTCTTAAATTAAATTTTAAACTACTTTTGAACTGCTATTTTCATTCATTCATTTTCTTGTCAGCTTAGTCCCTTTATTAATCCGGGGTTGCCCCACGAAGGCAGGGAGAACATGCAAACTCCACATAGAAACGCCAACTGAGCCAAGGTTCGAACCAGCGATCCAGCAACCTTCTTGCTGTGAGGCGACAGCACTACCTACTGCGCCACTGCCTCGCCTGAACTGTTATTTCATAGTGCAATACCATTTCTCAGTTTTACAATTTGTACTGTATTTTTGATGAGCAGAATAAACTTTTTTTAAAAGATTTAAAAACCCCAAACTTTTGACATACACTGTAAAACCCAATAAGTTAAGGTTAGTCAAACCATTTGAGGAAGCCGATTAAAAAAAACCCAATTAAGTTCAAAAACTAATGCTAATGAGTACTGTGAACTTAATCCATTTGAGTAAACAAAGCTTTTTCAGCACAGTAAAACCCAATTAATGAAGAGAACTTAAACCAACGGAGTACTGTGAAAACCCAGTAAGTTAAGGCAACTCTAACTGTTTGAGGAAACAGATTTCTTCAAACCATTTGACATAAAATAAATGACTCATCTTTAAATCTATATGAGTACTGTGAACTTACTCCATTTAAGTTGAAGTAATGAGGCATTTTATTAACTCATTACCTTCAACACGGAGTTCAAAACTATTTTCAAATGAGTAGAATTAACTCTCAGTCAATTTTGAGTTAACTACACTCATTTCATTTGATATAGTTGGCTGTTGGGTTTTTCAGTGTTTATATACGCAGAACAAGAACAAACATTGGCTCGTACTGTAGACATACAAAGGACAATATAAAGGACAACACACAAGAAAGACACGACAACAACAAAAAATGCATCATAGTCACAAAACATACCATCAAACTTGAGAGGGAATATAATTTAAACCTTAGAGAGGTCACTGAATTGTCCTTGAGATATAGATTTGTCAAATAAATCAATAAATTGACCCCAAGTAGCCAAAATCTTCTTATGGAGCTAGTCCTTAAAGATCTAAGTCATTCGATCTGAATAACAGACATCACATCAGAAATCCAGTTCTGCAATGAGAGGGGTAAAGGTGATTAAGTCTTTTAGCCACCAGCATGCCTTGCATCAAAGACTCTCGTATTGTTTGAGGCAGAGAATATGTATTTTCTGAGAAGCCGAAGATGGCAAGTTCGGCATCTGGTAGAAAAGGTCTGCTATAAGAGTTGCCGTCTCTACATTCATTCTGATATATTTTTGTTTTTCAGAATGGCTCTATGCACCTACAGATCCTTCAAAAACAAGGGAACAACAGTACATTAGGCATCTTTATAGAGGCCACATGAGGATGTTGTTGAGATGGGCTGAGAGGTCAGTGCACTGTTTTGTGAATTTCCTAAATGTTCCAGGATGTCAGTTTTTACAGAGGAAGCTCTCACAAGCCGATGACACCTTTATGATTCACTGAATAGCCAGTTGTGGCAATCTGAGCTTTTACATTACAGTACTACATCAAACCCCTGTGGGTTTCCCCGTCCTTCACTCCAGGTCACACAGTGCACATCAAAGAGCAGACATACAGACGGGAGATGAGATCAAACACTAGTGGGACAGAGGTCAGTATACTTTACCTTTACTTTACTTTTTTAAATGCAGAAAATTCATAGTCATCAGATCATTGTTCTTTCCACACTACATGAATGTCTGTGCTATTTATTTCCAGTTGTGGGCATGTTAAACAACAGATCTGAATATGGAGCTCCCATATTACACAACATTGAAAATCGATTGAGATGTCATTTCTTGTCGATATCACACACCCTTACTATCGAGAACTACATATTAGGTGTAAAACGGGGCTGTGTGTATCTGACATTAGGGTACGTGCAAAGTTTGGCCTTCCAAAGTATATTCCAGTTGATAGCTTGAAAAAACACAGGTGCTCGACACATTGAAGATTCATCCACTGAGCCTTTTCTCTCCAAAGTTAAAGGGATAGTTCTCCTAAAGGTGAAAATGTACAGTTAATTTACTCATCCTCAAGCCACAAAAGATGTAGATGACTTTTTTCTATTTTTTGTATAACAGTAAATAAGTAAATACATTTTTTGCTAAACCCTTGATGCTTCGTATAATGCAAGCCAATGGTCACCCATTTTTGAGATTATAAATAAACATACAAGTAAGTTCAAATCAATCCCTGTGACTTCTGATTATTTGTTGCTGAGGTTTCCCAGTTTGTTTGACTAGTGTGAGTGCTTCAATATGATTGGCCAGCCCTGACCCAGTTGGAATTGGTAGGCCAAAAGTTGGATCGGTTGGGCTCAATGTGAAAGCAATGACGCAATGTCACTGTTTAGGGACTCTTCCATATGAATCCTGTATGGATTTATAAGAGGGTAACCGCATCAATTTGCTTTTCCATTCTGAGAATGCGAGGTGCACTGTGCTGTTCATGTTGACAAGTGCAGTGCGCTTTTTATCTCGCTAGGCAACGACTGAATTAGCTGTGTATTGTGCAATAGCTTATCTAATTCACCTATAGCGCATGTTTTAAACTGTGGGGCAAACCGGAGCACCCGGAGGAAACCCAGGCGAACACAGGGAGAACATGCTAACTTCACACAGAAATGCCAGCTGAACCAGTCGGTTCTTATTGTGAGGGGATCGTGCTACCCACTGTGCCACCATGACGCCCCTTATTGCGATATTCAAGATTTGTGAAATCATGCAACTACAGATAACTAAAAACAGTGACCACAAGTCTCTCCTCCATCTTTAAAAGTCTCTGTAGTCGTCTTGACAGCAAAAACATTTTTGTCACTTGACGGAAACCCAGTTTCTGCTTTAATTTGTTTAAAGAATGAAAAAGACGCAACTGATGTAGCACACTTTTCCGCTTAAGAGTTTACTTTTCAACTGCAGGCACCCAGAGCGCAACGGCAAAAACATGAGGTGCAACATGCGGTTAAAATGTATAAGCAGCGTGCAAAGCAATCGCAGCCATAAGTAAAAAGGTTTGAAAAAGGAGCCTTCAACTAAAAAAGTGTGTTCAGTGTGATCAAGGACTAACTCATCCTTACTTGTCAGTTGTCAATAAATGAAAACTGTCATAGTTTATCAAGGATGCAAGCTCTTCACTGTACCTTAGCTGCCACCTTTATCAAACTTCCTAATACATGCAGCAAGATAATGTTTGTAAAAATCTATAAGCATCAAAAGTGTTGAATATGTTTCATCAAAATATCTGGCCAGGTGTCACTGTGTCCCAAATGACTCAAAATAATACACAACGATATAACTAAAGTGATCTCTATTGTACTGATTGAGAACGCTTCTCTTCCTGTTTTCTTCTAAACCAGGAATGAGCAGCTTCAGTCCTGGAGGGCCACTGTCCTACAGAGTTTAGCTACAAAGCTAATCAAACACACTTGCCTGTAGATTTCTAGTGATCTTGAAGACACTGTTTAGCATGTTCAGGTATGATTGATTAGTGTTGGAGCAAAACTCTGCAGGACAGGGGCCCTCTAAGACCGATGTGCCCATCCCTGTTCTAAACAGTCACATTGATGATGCAAGAATGTAGAGAAATGCAAAAATGCAATTTGAGTGTTGGCAGTTGGGGGAACTCCAGATGGGGTGACAATCGCGTCCATGCTCGGTTCAAGGGAGCCATGCCTATTGTTGAGTTTTGTGTAGTGTTGACTATATCTCAAAAATGGGTAACACATTGACTTAGATCCAATCTTAATTCTATTTTTGTACCCATACCCCTTCCCCTTGGCCTTTGAAACAGAGTGTGAAGGGAAAGGGCTTTCAGATTTACCGCTAACGGTGCATTCACATGGGACTTCACAAGCGTCAACACTTTCCAGAGGGCGTGTCTGAAGTTGGGGCTGACCCGATCGTCATAGCAGAGTCAGCCAATGAAATTAGTCCGTAATCAGCTACTGTCTGAGCTGGTCTATTTTCATACAGCAATCTGATTGGCTGACGCTTCCGTTGGGGCTTGAAAAGTTGACAAAGTCCCAACTTCTGCAGCGAGCAACGCCACAGAAGCAGTGCCGACGGATCCACAATGCAGTTTGGCAATGCCTGACATTACCCTTTCAAATGAATGGGAAGCATTGACGCTGACACCCCATGTGAATGAGGCAACCATATCATGTAATCATAACGATATAATGTGGCAATAAGCTACTAATAAGCTACTAACTGTGCTGTGCATTTATACTGTGGCCATATTCATCTATGTAAACACACGAAAACAAAATTAACATTATACCAGACACTGTAAAAAGCTTATTCCCGATCACTAGATTTTTCTGACTGGGTATTTGAGTGTCATCGAGTTACAGATGTGAAAGTATGTTGTGGGACAACTCTACAGGATTTATCAATAGAGATTATAGATAGCGAAATTTAGCGGCTTTTATTTTAGCGTTTTTTTTAAGCATGATGGTAAAACACGAATGCCATTATGAATGGATTAAAACATATGCTCCGTAAACGTGACAAAAAAAATTCATAAATGTGACAAAAATACAAATTTATGCATCTCCTGACTTCCGTGTGCAGCCATCACCTTGTAGATGGTGTATTGTGGGAAATTTTTATACCACTTGGTTTTGACTGTGTCCCTGGAAAATCTCTGTTTCAAGGGCTATCTAGTCCTTCCTAAGGGGCAGAATTGGGATTGGGCCTTACATTTTATGAATCACCAAGGAATGGCTATTCAGCTAATAAGAAATCTTATTTTTTGTTCAACTCAAGAAAAAGTCCCCCACATCTTCACTGGCCCTGAGGGTAAGTAAATACAATTTTTCGAGTGAACTATCTCTTTAAGAGTGATAAAATGTCTTTGTCCTTTTTGAGTTTCAGGAGTCTTCTGTTCTTCTCACATACACATCTGTTGTTTTTGCTGTCTTCAGTAGTTTGTTGTTATTTCACAACTTCAGTTTCTCTTTTCCAGCTGGGTCAGTGGACTGTACAGTACAGTGTACTGTGATAAATTCAGACAAATTTCTTTTGTCACATATTGTCTTTACCTGATGTAGTGAAATATGCAGTTCCACATACAGCATCCTTTTACGCACAGCCATGTCCACACAGGTTTCAAAATATATTTAAGCGCAGCTGTTTTATACTTCAACCACCACTGAGTTTTATGGTTTGCAGGACATTTCCTCTGAAAACATCTGTGTACTCCTTAAACACTTTGTTTAAATGATGCCACTTTCTGAAACTCTTCTTTTTTCTCCTTGCACAAATGCTTTTTAATTTATTGCAGCACTAATTTTGGTCTTCTGATTTAACATGTTGTCTTATATTGCCTTTTCCACTTGTTTTCGACTGCTGCCCAGTCTGTCGCAACTGTTTGTACTACAGGACCCTCCTGATAATGACAATTGTATCATATGGACAGTGGGCAAATTTAGAAAGATTGGCAGTGTGGATATTGTGCCGATTAAAAAATTGCAGATCTGTACACATATCTTATTGTACATGTAAAACGGGAGGTATGGGCTTCACTGTACACTGTTTAACTATCCGTAGATGTCATTCTCTACCCATCCGGCCTCAACACGCGATGCGCTCCGGCAAGTCTCATAGATGTCATTTGTGACAAAACCACACTGCGTTGTGGTGCTCTGGACATTTTCGTATTCCTCAAACTGACTGCTTGATGGCACACTAAATGTTCTGTTAATCTCAGAGCTCATGTACTCCAGATGAGCTCCACACTGGTTGAAATTGTCTGTGTGTTTATAATCAGCTTGGCTCTTTGGTGCTAAAGGACGCACCCACTGTCCTGGCACAGCGTAGATTTCATTCTGCTCTTTTCTCCTGCAAAGACACAGCCACAACGTACAGTATATTATATGTCAGGGTAATGTAGTTCATGAAGATGATTTGATAGAAATGTCTGCATTGCACTACACACCTCTTTGTCATGACTTTGTAACAGAAGACCCCAGACACCACCAAGATCAGAAGCAGCATTAAAGGCAGAATGGCAAAGAGAGTGTAGTAAATATTGATTTTGTCTTCTGAAATAGAAACTAAGAGTTAAAACATAATTGTTAATAAATTGTAAAAGTTAAAACATATTTGCTAATAAAATCAGTTAAATAATATGATTTTATTTATTAATAATATAATTATTATGAATATGTTATTACAAAATTACTTGTACTTCCACTCTTACTAATCAAATTATGACATTTAGGGGCGGATTTTGGTTATAATTTATTGTTAATTAATTACCTGAAGACTCTGAGAGTTCAGTTTTTATGCTGTCATTGTCCACTGTAATTGGCGGGTGCTTTGGCACCAGAGTAAAGTCAATGATACCTAAAGATAAGTAGATAATAATCATAATTATGAATAATGAAGCATTTATAATATTATAATATTATATTTCACCCAAAAATTTAAATCTTGATCGCTTGCAGGCAATGCATTAATAGTAATGTTGAAAAAGTCCTCAATGCATCATCATTAGCTGTAAACATTCTATTTATCAACAAGGACCACAGTTTTAGCTATGCATTTTGAACATTTTCTAAGGAAGAAAAAGTCACCTATATCTTGAGTAAATAAACAATACATTATAAATTTTTGGTTGAATTATCCTATCATATTTCTTTCTAAAACGCGTCTATTTTGATTAATTGTAAAACTCCACTTCCACCACTAGAGGTCATGACAACAACTATTAAATGTATGTATAAAATGTGAAGTCTTTTAAAGGAAAATTCACATTAAAATATTATTCTGATATTCTGATTCTGTTTACACACTATCAAACCATTTTAAGGATTCTTTCCTCCGTGAAGCATCAAAAAGCAGAACAGTATTACTACTTATTGCCATGTAATTACAAGAATAAGCAAATTAGTGTTGTTTTGCACAGGTTTAGGAATAACCCCCAAAATGATATGGGTGAAAATAATAGATTTTTCTATTATGCCAAAAATCTTTGGAATATTTATCTTTGTGATAATTGAACATTATCTTCATTTTGTAAACTTCCTACTCTAAAACTCTAAAATTTAGATTAGTAATATTCATAACTAAGAAATTTAAAGGTAATTTTCTTAATATCTGCAATTTTTACCATCAGAATCCAGAGTTGGATCTCAACCAAATGTTGTCCTATCATAACAAACCAAATATCAACGGAAAGATTTTATTCAGCTTTTGGATGATCAATAAATCATAATTGCATGAAAACATTATGGTTCTTTTGTGGCCCTGGGTTACATTTTACACAGTGACCACGTTTATATGCTACTATAATAATATTTTATCCCAAAAACCTCTGTCATAACATTTTAAGGTAGTCATTAATATTAAATATTGTGTATTTAAATAAATAATAGTCACTGTAAATTTATTTTGGCAAGTGTCACAGCTAGTGTATTAATTTTTGTTAACATTTGTTATTTATTTTATTGTAATTTTTATCTGATATTTAATCAGATTTTTAAATACTAAAAACAATTTGTGCTGTTAATTTTATTACTGAAGTATGCTTTACTTTTTAATTTAATGTAGACTAAAGTTACTTTCAAATGATAAAATCTCACCGTAATTTTGAGATACTCTCATATAAAAATACCATATATTAATAAATTAAGCAGAAAATCACCATTACTGTGTCATAAAATGGTAGCAAGCACACCAGATGAAGCTTAAGCTTTGTTTACCTGTGTGTGTAGTGATATTTCCTCCAGAAGTGGGGACAGGATGCTTCTCTAAACACATACAGGAGGCGCAAGAGTTTACATTTTAAGTCCAATTACATAACCTGTTTACACTGAGAGATGCTTGCTTCAAATCAGTTGACTATTAAATATCTTAATGTGACAGCTAACATTAACATAAAAAACTTACCATCTGAGTACTTGCAGATGAAATTGTTCTTGGAATTGCAATTGTAGTCAGTCCACTTAAACAGACTGTGCTCCTTCTGGCCAGCAGAAGATGAGGGCCGGTAAAATAATGCCACACACTGATCAAGGCCACACGAGGGCTCTGCCACTAACCAATTTCTGAAAATTAAACATAACATTTATTACCTTATTTTTATTTATTTTTTTACATTCGTTTTTATTTTAACACTGTAAAATTTAGTTTTCTTAGTGTTTTTGTCTTGTTTCTAGTCTAAATATCTAAAATTTCTTAAATAAGGAAGTGTTTTCTAGAACAGTAGAAAAAAAATTGTTTTTAGAAATAGTAAGTCAAAATTAAGTGAGTTTTTAATCAAAACAAGTTAATAATATGCCAAACAGGTTTGAAATGAGTGTATTTTACTTACCTTATTATAAAGATTACTTTGTTTGTTTTAAGAATAATTCAATTAAAATTTGACTTGTTATATCTGAAAACAAAGCAATATTTTTTACTTGTCCAGAAAATCGTTCTTGGTTACATTTTTATATAAATTTGGACCAGAAACAAGACAAAAACTTCAAGTAGGAAAAGTAAGATTTTACTTGATATTTTAAATGGAATTACTTTTTTGTTTATTATTTAAGTTGTATTTTATGTCAGATTTCAGCAGTTAGTGTTGAGCTTTTCTTTTAGTTGTCAATAACAGCACTAGTATAAAAGTCCCTTTTATTATTTTATATTTGTCCTCTTTTAGCTTCAGCCAACCATCATTGTAACTGCAACCAAAGAATTTTTTCTAAAGAAAGAAGCTCCTGCCCTGTGTTGGGGGTAATGCATTACAAAAAACACAAGTTATGTAATAATATTAATTTTCTAAGTAACAAGTAAAGTAATGCATTAAAATTAAGTAATAATCTTTGAGTCACTTTAAAAAAATGTTATGCAAGCTACTTTTTAGTTTAGTTAATTTACTTTTCAAATAATAAATTGCTCAATTAAAATGAACATAGTCATGTTGAATCCCGCACACAATGAGAGAATGCAGAAACAGACAGAAAGGAAAATGGCCGAGCCTTACATTTCTGCAATGGAAATATTTTCATTATTTTGAACCAGTGTTGCCAGATATAGCTGAGTTTTCCAGGCCAAATCTGTTCAAAAGCACACACACACAAATGCACAAAAACAAACGCCCAAAATATTTTATTAATTTAAATTTTAATCTAAATAAACCTAGTTGACTGTCATAATTTTTAGCCATACAGCAACCAACACCAGCAGTCACAGAACCACAACACAACTGGAGCACATCAAAATACTGCCCTCCTTTCACCCACACACTGCGCTTAATGTTGTGTGCAGATTGCAGTACCAATTAGAGTATGTTTTACTTTCGAATTGGTGTATAAATTTGTCCCAATTGGTGTTTAAAATTCTTTTGAACATAATTAGGTGCTGCTTGTCAATCAGACAACACTTCTACTGTATGTTTGTTCTTGCTGCCAATTGCGGAAAAAAAAAATCAATGAAAATGTCATGATAAACCGCTGAGTAACTGCAGGCGCTGTGTGATGCATGTGTACATGAAGGGGAGTCAGATCTATCCGAGAGTCCGATTTTAATACAACTTTCCTTCACCCCTCTTGCGGGTGCATGGGCCCAAGCTGTTTGCACTATGCACTGGTCACTACTAACTGAATGGAGTAGGAGCACACAGGTGTGTTTTGTTAAATTAGTTGCATAAAAAAATTACGTTTCAAAACTGCCCAATTTTTGTCAACCCGCCTATGCCATTTTTTACCCACACAATCAAATTCAAAACCGCCCAATCTGGCAACACTGTTTTGAATAAATGGAAGAAAGGAAAAGAGTATTATCTGAATAGACAGTGAGTTTAGTTTTTAATAAGACAAAAAGTACAAAAGTATTAAATTCAATGCTTTAAACTTTCATTATTACAGGCCTGTAGCCATGGGGGGTTTGAGTGTTTTAAAAGCCCTCCCCTCACTGACAAAGGTCCATAATTTGTCCCATACATGAGCTCATTTGATCTATTTTGACTGCTATTCCATAATAAATTGTGAAAATAATCCATCAAAGATGGCTATAACACTAAGCGGAATCCTGTGTTAGCTGTCGCTTCAGTGTGACTGAGGAAAATTAAATGTGCTGGCCAGCTTGCTATTTAAATTGATGTTATTTAATTGACAATAGGCTTGTTTTTAATTAAAAACTTTAACAGATTCCTATTTTGTTTCTAATGACATACAATGTAATATATGTGTATTTGAAAAATAAATATTGTTCTCATACTTCTTCATTCATGAAATGTTTTTGGCAGATCAAAAATGTGGTTATGATTACCAACCAACAAGCTAATCCAGCAAAAAATAGTGCTTAAAATTTCACTAAAACGCAACCTATTCAAACCTCATAATTAAATTGAAAATGAGGCGAATAACTGCAAAAAAGTTCACATTTAAATAAGAACCAGCCCTTTTACCAGGCTGGCTATGGGCCTATAATACAGCATGTATAGCTCTGAGGGTCAAGAAGTTCTCCGAAGATAACGTCCTACATAAAGTTTTTATGTGTTTGTTTTAAAGGTGAATGAAGGTTATACAGTGTGTTGTTAACAGCAGAGCTCATCTAATAAAAAAAAGAAGAAGAAGAAAACCCTGCAAGTTATGAAACAGATCAAGCCAGGTCAGAAAAAGTAATGCAAAAGTAATGTAACACATTACTTCCCATAAAAAGTAACAAAGTAAGACAATAGTTACTTTTTGGGGGAGTAACAGAATATTGTAGAGCATTACTTTGCAAAGTATCTTTCTCCGACACTGCTCGTATGTAAATAATGGCAATGATTTTACTTGTTAATGCCAAACTTAAACTAAACTAAAAACAATAACAGAAAGGATTAAGGATGCTGTATCTCCGACCTACCTAAATGTGGACTGACTATAATCCAGCCAGTAATACTGTGAAGAACAATCAACATTATACTGTGAGCTCCTCCGTAGCCCTATCCAAAAGTCTCCATCGGAGGCCCGGAGCGTCTGCACAAATCTCTCCACCAGACGCTGCTCGTTCTCGGTCTCGATGCTGAGCAGCTCTCCATCCTCCTCCCAGCACTTCTGTCGGGCTGCCTCGAAGCTGGCTCTGAGCCTGCTGTCCTGAAAGTGTGTGATCTTATAGCAGGGCTTCTCTGTCCCTCTCCTGCATATCCTCTGATCTGCAAACCAAACACATAAACTGGTATCAGTGTTGAAGTAATTAAAGGAATACTGTTGTAGGAAAATTGGCGAGGAGAATTATGTGCCCAAAGAGAGGAAGAATCCAGAACTTCCACAAACTGTCAGGCGGAAAATCCTCTTAAGCAGAGTCATGTGTACGACAGTCAGCCATCAGCCATATCCTCCCGGACTAATAAACAGCTGCGACCCACTTATGAATCCGAAAACTACACTAACAAACCACTGTACTTACAAAGAAAACCCAAAGAAGCGCTAGTTACTGTACATGTGTTGCGCCGCTGGTTGTTATACGTTATTAAATGTAGTTCTACACAACAAAAGCTTCAGAAACCTTTATTTAAGAAGTTTAGGGTTCAGCTGTCGTATTTATATACCACGAGAACGCATTTGTATAAACTATTGTGTTTTTTCACCGCGAGTTGGTTCATTTGAGTGTCGCTGTGCAAGAACGGACATTTTATATAAATAATCACAAACTCACCACCGAAAGCGCCTGACGCGCAGCTGGGATGGAAACAAACTGCCAAAACAGTTCCGATCAGTTTCATAAACTCCATCTCTACATAGTTTCAAAGGGCGTGCGACTGCCTCGACTCTTTCTAGATCCTGGTAACGTCCCGCCGCTGTCAGACGAAACGAATGCTGGCAAAAAGAGGCTGCTTGAGTCTCCGTTCAAGTGCCTCTTGCTAGCAGAAACAACTGCAGCTGGTTTAGTGCTCCCACTCTTTGCGTGTGTACTTAAATAGTGTTCTGAAGTAGCCTTTTTTCTACAGTTACTTTTTTGCTAATTTAATTCATAGCTAAGCTAATAATAAATTATTTGATGAATTTAACCAATTTGTATTTTTTAACAAATGTATTAAGTTTTTTTTTTACCTTGTGTTTGTTAGTGATTTAGTTACTTCTTAAAAATAAGTCAACAATACATTATTTAATGAATCTATAACCAATTTGTTTTAATTTATTTAATTATTTATTTTACAAATGTATTTATTTATATGTATAATGGCAGGGGTGGACTTAGTGATTTGGGGGCCAAAGCATTTCCAGTTATGGGGCCCTAGCATTGAAACTCAAAACAAACTCTTTCTCTAGATATTTTTTCTCTGCAGACTATTATTATTGTAAAACTGCATGTTAAAAGGTATTTAAATAAAAAATATAAATAGTATTTAATTTATTTAAAGTATTTTTTAATATTTAACAGTGGCTAGCACGATCGCCTTACAGCAAGAAGGTTGCTGCTTTGAGCCTCAGCTGGGTCAGTTGGCATTTCTGTGTGGAGTTTGCATGTTCTCTTCGTCTGGGTGCTTCAGTTTCCCCCACAGTCCAAAGACATGCGGTATAGGTGAATTGAATAAGCTTAATTGTCTGTAGAGTATAAGTGTCAATGCAAGAGTGTATGGGTGTTTCGAGTGTTGGGTTGCGGCTGGAAAGGCATCCGCTGCCTAAAACATGTGCTGGAAAAGTTGACGGTTCATACCGCTGTGGCAACCCCTGATTAATAAAGGGAATAAGCCAAAAAGAAAATGAATGAATGAATGAACATTCAGAAATGAAATAAAACAAGTTCTAACTGACTTATATGCAAAAATTTAAACTAAATTAGCCATTTTTGTGAATAGATTTAGATGTAAGTTTTTAAAAAAACTGTTTAAACAAGTTTAATTCACGATCAATTAAACTGAATAATTGCTGTTGCCTCTCCCCGCACCGCACACCAAATACGCATATTCTATTTAGTCAAATATCTGTGTTCACTCATGAAATGTGGCAAATGGACCGAAGAAGAGACTTTTTAAATTATCATATTATTGCTTTTCTTTATGAAATAAGTTGAAGTAATAGACATTTTTTGTGTGTGGTAATGGGGTGGGGGAAATAATAAGCTTGAGTTTCATCCAGCTCAATTTCGACCATGGTGAAATTTGTTTCGTATGAAGAGCTTTATGATTCTTTTGTTTAAAATAAATGAATTAATTTTCATTAATTTTAATATTAATTTGCATATATTGCATTAGTATATTTTTGGCAACAATTAGCCAAAATTATGCCAAAACTCTTTACAATATTATGTGAACATCAGGATCCATTCAGATATGTTGTGTTTTTATTTTAAATAGCCTATGACAAACTAATTTTTGATTTGCTTAGATTTTGCATTGCTAAAAATTTTATTTGCTCTGCTTTAAAGGCAATTTTCTTAATATTTAGATATTTTGAACTTTCAGATTCAAGATATTCATGTAGATTTATCTCAATCAAATATTGCCATAACACAAGAAACCACACATCAGTGGAATAATGACTTTATTCTGCTTTTAGGTGTTATAAATCTCAACTTCTAAAAATGGACTCTCTATGCCTGGTCTTGTGGTCTGCATCAACTTTCAGTGTGGTTTTATACTTTTCCTGTATCACTATCAACATCAGTCACTATTTGTAAATCACTGAAGTTTACAGAAATATAAAATCTGTTCAGACAAAGTGGAGAGGGATCAATTTTGTTTGGCTTGCTTGCAAACTGACAGAGGAAGTAAGATGACATTTTATGAGGTTGACTGGAGTGTGCAAGTCAGTGGAGCTCAGTCACTGCTGCTGACCCGGCCAGCTCACAGTCAGACACACACTACACAAACTATCCTCAGGAATAGGAAGCCAGTCCGGAAAGGAAGCTCTTTTTTTTAACAACAGCCTGTTTCCTCTTCATCTTTGTGGTTTGTTTTTTTGGTTCTTTTTCATTTCCAGACATTTCCCCCTTGACCTGACAAAGAAAATAAATTCATTATAGAGAGCTTGAGCTGAGAAATATACCTTGTAAAACTTTCTGGCTGTTAAAAGAACCCCACTTGCATGTTATTTTCAGAAAAGGCAACCTGCTACTGTTACAATGTGTAATCCCATACATACATATGAAATCCTTGTGGTCTATTATGGGGAACAGATCCTGCAGATGTTCTGCGGTTTTGGAGAAATAAGGGTGAGGTCATCAGGCCAGTGGCACTGCATGTGTAGTTTGTTTGTGCTGATCTCTGGCAAGCCGCCCAGACTCATTGCCCCTCCTCACTCAATGCTGCCTGTCATGTCTCTTTTATTATGTTCAAGCCACTTCCATTCAGAATCACTAACTTCTCAGCTTATACCGTTTGCAATGAAACCTCTTGAAAACATCCCTATTGCCAGAATCCTATTGTTTTAATGGCTTTATTTACATTATTTTGGTTTAAATGTTCCCATTTTTCTTGAGTATCGTTGTAACATGACATATACGATATGCTAGAATATGAGGGTTTTTATTATTCTTCATTTTTGAAACTTTTTTGCCTGCATGTGAATTCTTTTTTAAAACTCTGCCCCTTGAAGTCAGTGATACCATCTGTAATATGCATGTCGAGCAAGTTGTCTAGCAGTTGGTATCTTGAACATAGTCTTGTAATTTTGCTAAAATAAAGCTATTGTTTACTAATGTAGTGCCCCATATAGTAAGACATTGTGCCCTTCATTTCTGTGTAAAAAAATAGGGACTTGTGTAAAATACAGTGATGGGTATATGCGCTATAGAACCTACACTTTGATTGTAGTCTGGTCATACATTATTTTAGGACAATGTTTTTTTCAGCAAGACTTTATAGCATAAGACTGTAAAAAAACGCTGGGTTCCATATGATTCCTTCATGTTGTCCCAACATTAACCGATTAAGTTAACTTAATCCCCTTAACTTAACTTCATTTAAATAAGTAGTGTTAATAAACAGCAAAAGTAATTAATTGAGTGTAGTACAAATACATTTTCTCTGCGCAACCACAAAATTATTATCACTGGCCACTTTATTAGGTACACCCTACCTGTACTGGGTTGGGCCCCCTTTTGCCTTCAGAACTGCCTTAATCCTTCGTGGCATAGATTCAACAAGGTACTGGAAATATTCCTCAGAGATTTTGTACCATATTGACATGATAGCATCATGCAGTTGCTGCAGATTTCTCAGCTGCACATCCATGGTGCTAATCTGTTCCACCACATGCCAAAGGTGCTCTATTGGATTGAGGTCTGGTGACTGTAAATGCCATTTGAGTACAGTGAACTCATTGTAATGTTCAAGAATCTGAACAATCTGAGATGATTTGCGCTTTATGACATGGTGCGTTATCCTGCTGGAAGTAGTTATCAGAAGACGAGCACACTGTGGTCATAAAGGTATGGACATGGTCAGCAACAATACTCGGGTAGGCTGTGGCAAATATCCCCCACACCATTGCAACCTGAACCGTTTACACAAGTCAGGATGGATCTATGCTTTCATGTTGTTATTTTAAGTTAATTCAAGTCATTCAAGTTAACGAGTGGCCAAAATGAAAAAAGAAGTTTTCCTTTTTTTAGTGTTTAGTAAATATATCATTAAGCTTCAATGTATGATACATTGATTAATTCGATCAGCAGTGTGTTAGAGGAGTGAAACTAACCGTTGCTTGGAAATTAAAATGCCCATTTTCAGAGTAAAATCTATTATTAAAACTTTTTATTCCGTTAGACTTCCTGTCATTTTTGAGGTTGTGAGGTTTTACCCTGAAATAATCTACAGTAGCATATGCAAAGTGTGCGGTTTGTTTATGTATGTTCAGCTTGTGTGGCTGCTACTGCATGCATATTTATTGCACATGCATATAAAATGGACATTAAAGTTAATCTCACTGAATGCAATGCATTTTCTACAACCTGCATACAGGAGAGTAGTTATTGCACCTGCACAGATATGAGCACTTAACATACAGACTGATTCTTGTAATATCTGAGAGAAGAGTTCCACATTTCTACAATGGCATTTTCTGGACCAGCAGGCGGCAGTATTGTACTAGTACTGTTGTATGTGTTCTGAAGAGTTCTTTTTTATTTTTTATTTTCTAGGGGTAAAATGTCACAAAACACCAAATGAAAAAAAAGCATTGCAGGGACTTAAGGCAATTAATCTTGAATATTTGACAAAAGAGTTTTGCTCTTTACAAAGTGGGTTTCCTTGCACCGTGTGAATACGCAGAATATGTTTTTACAGTGCTGAAGAGGATTCATAAATTAATCTGATTAAAATGTTTTTCCCAACCATGTATAATTATAGGATGTTGGTGCCATGAGGTGGAACACAACACAAAATCACACATTTGACTATTTGGTTCTGACCCAAATATTTATGCTACAATTAAATGATTAAATCAAAATAGGCCTGAGTTGTTATACATTAATATGCCAGTGGTGTTGCCGTATACATTTATGAACAATGGTTTATGAATGTAGTGAAACTTTACACTATAGCAGTCTTGAAGGATTCTGTCTAAATCTGTCCGATTTTCAGTATAGTGACACGCAAATTTAAATAGGCTACTGTGTGAATTCCCTAATTCCCTAAACACCAACTATGCATTTGTTTCTTGCATTTTTCATTACAGTTATATAGCCTTTGCTATGGTTGGCTCTTTCTTTCTTTCTTTTCCTCTCTTCTTCACTTCTTTGCTTCCTTCCTTCCTTCCTTCCTTCCTTCCTTCCTTCCCTCCTTCTTTCCTCCTTCCTTCCTTCCTTCCTTCCTTCCTTCCTTCCTTCCTTCCTTCCTTCCTTCCTTCCTTCCTTCCTTTCTTTCTTTCTTTCTTTCTTTCTTTCTTTCTTTCTTTCTTTCTTTCTTTCTTTCTTTCTTTCTTTCTTTCTTTCTTTCTTTCTTTCTTTCTAAATATAACTACCATGGACATAAGCTTTTTTTTCCGGATGCATCTTTAATAGGTGTCTTCGGGCTCCATTTTATGGTGTTTTTAAAAACGGGGCGAGAACCAGAATTGAGAAACACTACTGTGAGACAATTGCAGCAAAAACACTGTATTTATATTTACAGCACTATTTATCTATACTGTAAACTATATACTGTAATTTTTACAATTCATTTATTCATTTTCATCTGCTTTTCTAGGGCCAGGTCGCAGGGACAGCAATCTCAGGAGAGAAACTCAGACTTCCCTTTCCCCAGACACTTCCTTCAGCTCCTTCGGGGGGATCCCGAGGCGTTAGCAGGCCAGCCGAGAGACACAGTCCCTCCAGCTTGTCCTGGGTTATCTTTCAGGCCTCCTTACAGTGGGACATGCCTGGAACGCCTCCCTTGCTTTAGGCATCCAGGATGCATCCGAAATAGATACCCAAGGCACCTCAGCTGACTTCTCTCGATGTGGAGGTGCAGCGGCTCTACTCCGAGCTCCTTCCAGGTGATGGGTGCGCCATGCCACCCTGCGAAGGAAACTCATTTCAGCCTCTTGTATCAGAGATCTTCTCCTTTTGGTTATGACCCGAAGCTCATGACCATAGTTGAGAGTAGAAATGGAGATTGACCGGTAAATCGAGAGCTTTGCCTTTCGACTCAGCTCCTTCTTTAACACAACGGATCGGTACATCAACAGCATTACTGCTGCCGCTGCACCGATCTGCCTGTCAATCTCACGTTTTATCCGGCCGTCAATCGTGAATAAAACCTTAAGATACTTGAACTTCTCCACCTGGGGTAAGGTCTTTTCTCCAACCTGGGGATGGCAAACCATCTTTTTCCGTTGTAGCACCATGCCCCCCCCCCACTTCCCCCAGTGCGTGCTGAAGGTCCATGTTCGGTGAAGCCAACAGAACAACATCATCTGCGAATAACAGAGATAAAATCTTGTGGTCCCTGAACCGGACCCCTTTCAGCCCAAGGCTGCGCATAGCAATTCTATTGCATAATAGTCCTACAGTATACTTTATATCACAGTTAAATACCGTGTAAGTTACAAAAATTGTTAACAATGTGTGTCCGTGCTTTAATTCAAACTGCAGAACACAAGTGTTTGATGCAATATTAATCTGGTCAAAAACAGCACTAAATAGCTGAATGTGACTATGGCTACATTGATGCATCATTTGATTTTAGTCTTGTTCTTCACACTAAGTGAATGATAATTTAGAAAACTCACCCTCGTTTTTGAATGCAGTTAATGCTCCTGAAACTTACAGAGGGTATAAGAACTATTTAGTTTACAAATGCAGATGTTGCTCTCATAAACTGTGTACAGAACAGGATTAAGCACAGAATGGGTGACCTGACAATCAAATTTAGCTGCAGTGTGTACTTGACTTTTCATCACCTGGCAGATCATATGTAGTGATCTGAACTGAGAACAAAATTGAAAAACACAGGAATCCAGAAAACTCTTACAGTTCAGTTTATAGTGGAGAACATGGTGTGACGCTTCGAAGCATAATATGTGAAATATGTTCTCTAGCTCAGGGGCTTTTTTGGCACAAACAATTGTAGAGTACATGCTTTATTGAAAGCTGTTTGTCAGATATCAGCATAACTCCGTCTAAAGTGATCCTTTAGCCTTTAGCAGGGGTGTTTGAGTTTGCTGCTCTCCAAAGACAATAGCTGATGCTCGCATGCGAGACAAACCAACAAAAGTTTTTGGCGTCCTGTGTTTCGCACCTTGTGGCAACTGATCACATTTCTTGTATTCATAATGATTCTATTCCCAGGAGATGATGCAACATTTTACATTTCAAATGATTCATAAAAAGAAACTTAATTCACTTTCTAAGGTTTTGACATTGAATATGGTTACAAATAATGTCACGGGATGAACAAAATGGTTACACTTTACAATTAGATTACATTTGATAACGTTCTTATTTACTAACATACCAACAAGTAATACATTCCTTTTATAGTATTTATTCCTCTTTATGTTAGTTTAAATAGTAAAATGATAACTGCTTATTTTTAGTACGTTAGCACAACTTAGATCATTAACAATGAATTATTTCATACTGCACTGTAAATAAATGATCATAATAATGACTAAATATTCTATATATAATATTTATATTACACTCAAAATTATTTTTGCTACTTGTTTAAACTAATGAACTACTAAACTAAGACTACTGAACTACTAAAATGGGCTCAATCAATAGAATTTTAATTTTTGTTTTTTGGAGGTGGGGGGCAACTTAATTGTTTTATCTTCATTCCACTTTAGTTTGTAAAATTAGTTGATTTAGTTAGTTAACTTAATCGATTTGTGTTGGAAGAGCATGAAGCTATTTTGTTATTGCTTATTATTTCTGAGGGTTTCTTTTTTTAATCTGTACCTTTTCATGTTTTATTGTGTTCTGATGCTCTTGTTAGCGCTTTAAGTATGAGAAAAGCGTACCATAAATAAATATTATTATTGTTGTTGAACCTAGCATTTTTTATTAAGATTGATTATGAATCAATATTAAATATTCATATTGAAATAAGTTTGATTATACTTATGCAAACCTCAAAACACCTACATATTCCTTAATAGTCATTAATATCAACGTTTCTGAAAATTTTTACAAGTGTCCACTTAATATGCATCAAATTGCACTGTCACTCATTAATAATCAGAACCTGAGGGGATACATGTTTTAATCTTGAAAGAAACAGGACAGATGAGACACTCCCTGCACCTATTAAATTCTGCTTGGGGTCCAACACTATATATATCAACTCTCAGTCTCATCACCTTCCTCAAATACTGTCCATTCACCTGCCGGGGACTTACACAGGTATGACACACTCATTCTTTACATTTATATCTACTGTTTTTTTCTCTTTATGGCGAGACACTGTAATTAAATAAGGTCAAGAAAATCTGCAAAAAATCTGCATACTTTTTTTTCGCACAAATATCTGAATATTGGATGAAGTCAGGTTGAAAAGTCTTGCTTTATTGTTTTTTTTATTTAAAGCTTGTTACTGAGAGGAATTAGGGTAATCTTTTTTATCACTCCATAGTTCAGAAAATACTGCAAACAGTCAGAATAAATTTTTTTATGTTTTGTACAATAAAATGTACATAAAGGCAAATCATTTATGGATTTATCCCACTGTAAAAAAAAAAAATCAGAATAAGGATATGGATAAAACTGAAGTTAAATGCATCATTGCTTCTGAAGTGGAGATTTATGGCTCAGTGTAGAAGAGAAAACTCGAAACATTGAGAAATAGGCCTTTAAAAATATGTATTTTTCATTCATTCATGTTCCTTTGGCTTAGTCTCTTATTTATCAGGGGTTGCCACAGCTGAATGAACCATCATATGTATTGATATTGAAATAAAAAAAAGAGTATATTTTGCATATATTTTTTCATTAGACCAGAGATATCCAAACTATGGCACTTTGACCAAAATTGGTCCATTTCAACCTTTGATTTGGCCTGCTATCCTGAGAATGGAGATTGTCATTTTAAATTTAATGTACCCTTTTTTCTTTGTTTTATTGTATAAACTACAAAAACTATCTGAAATTAAATGTTTCAATTTAAATGGTGTAAATTAATCAGATTTAGTTTCAAATGTACACACGATGGATAGAGGAGAATGCAGAGGCTTTGGTGAGTAAATTAAGGAAGTATCTGCTTGAGTAGTGTATTCTGCATTGAACTCCTCCATGTTATAAATGTGTTTATGTATTTGTTGGAATAAGTTATAATTGAAAAAGTTATATGATTTAGAGTAAGGTTTTCTATGTTTTTTTATATTATGAAAAAATTATATGAATTAAGAAATTACCCATGACAACTTCAATGTAACATAGTTTGGTATATTTATCTTCGGTTCACGGCTATCAATGATATTTGGTTTTTGGCCCTACATACGAAAAAGTTTGGGCACCCCTGCATAAGACTGAAGTAACAATTCAATGCAATTCAATTCAGCTTTATTTGTATAGCACTTTTACAATGTAGATTGTGTCAAAGCAGCTTCACATAAATGGTCATAGTAACTAGAACAGTGTAGTTCAGTTTTTAGTGTTTAAGTTCAGTTCAGTTCAGTTTAGCTCAGTTCAGTGTGATTTAATCATTACTGAGAGTTCAAACACTGAAGCGCAAATTCATCGATGTGTTGCTCTACCAATCCTGAACGATGTGAGCCAGTGGCGACCCTATGGAAAGCCAAAATTTCTAAATTGACAGGTGCATGAAAAAAAAAGGCATTTTGACAAAAAAGATTTTGACTGCATTTTCTTGCCTAAAACCAATTAGAACTCCCATTAACATTTATTTAACCTTACAGGATATTCAGTCATAGTGTTTGCCTCTACAGCAGGAAGATGCTGTTTTTATGCTTGTGTTTGCTGGCTGTGGTCCTGCAGTCTGTTCATTCCTATAACTGCACCTCAGACAATAACAGGGTTCCAGGTGAGTCTCTGTCAGATCAGACTGATTTTCTGAGCAGTTGGTTGAACACTAATATCCCCTCTCATTTTCTCAGATAACAGTGATTTGGTGGTTCACTGTGGCACCAATATGATCACTCTAGAGGTGAACCTGTGCACTGCGGAATGGGCAGGCTTTAATGCCAGTGGTCTGGCACTGAACGGGCAACGTGATAACAGCCTGTGCTTGGGTACCCCCGACAACACTGTGAACCCTCCTGTCATCCGCTACCAGCTGCCCGTCAATGACAGCCTGCAGAACCCCTGCAGACACTCTCTGCAGGTTTGAAGAAATCAGCATTTTACAACTTTTCTTAATTGTTACATATTGAAATATTTAGGTATAAAATATTTAATACAATACATAAGTCACTTATTTAATATGGATTCATATATTAATCTATACAATTATGTAATAATATAATTCCCCTTCAGATGGGGAACTCCAATGCTATAGTGGAATTAATCCTCTTATGGGATTATTGTTCAGAAAGCCAATCGTCTAAAAGAGTATGTTAACGGGACAATGAAATACCAAAGGAATTGGCAGCGTCAGCTTGCTCACCTGATGCTTGTTGCAATCAATTTAGCATAAAAGCACAGCGAAAGCAAGATGAGGTATCCTTTTTGCTTCAGAGACTTCTCCTGCTAATATCCAGCGATTTCGAGCGAATGAGAGCAATCCTCCAGAGCAGTGCGCATAAAGTTGCAAATTTCCTAAAAGAGCAACACAGTCGTGCAGCACGTCCTTTTCCAGGATGGCGCTCCGACTGTGCGTTTTTGGAAAGGCGAACCACCCCAGCTGTCCCCTGCACTGCAGCGGGCACTCGGGCAGGTCTGAGGATTCCAGTGGGAGATTATCCATTGCCTCCGGGCCTGCGGACCTCCCACTCCTCCAAGCACTCCAACCAAGCTTCGAGCGGAGGAAGCGATCTGTCTAACCAGGCCCTTACGTTCGATGACACAGGGGACCAGACGTCCACTGCTGCATCAGAGGAAGGGCTTTCATTGTCCGACGAGGCTCCAGACCTGCTTGCCCCCTCCGGGCAGGTGAGTGCTGTCAAAACAAATCCTGATATTAAGAGCTGCTTCAGCCGTGGGGTTGGAGATGGTTTATCCCCCAGCTCCGCGGCTGGACCGACTAGATGGGTGCTACGTAGAGGACAAGAGGGCCAAGCTTTCGAAGCCTCTCGTCCCCTTCTTCCTGGAGGTGCACAGTAGGCTCACGCCATCCTGTTGGGCATCTTTTTCTGCCCGTGCTGCGTGTCTCTCCGCCCTCACCACTCTTGATGGTGGAGCAGCCAGGGGGGGTATGAGGTGATTCCTCAAGTTGAGCGTGTCATTGCGGTCAATCTTTGTCAGCGTGGTGCCTCTTCTTGGTGGAGTCCACCTCGTCTCCCGTCCAAAGCCTGTAGGTTATCTGCCTCCCTCGAACCAGAGCTTACAAGCCTGTGCGCCAGGCTGCTTCCACCTTGCACACTATGGCACCAACCAGTGCTACCAAGTGCAGGCGCTGGCCCAGCTGCACGAGGTGAGTCCGACTCAAGCTTGCTTCACAAGCTCTGCACCACAACTGACTATGCTCTTCGGACCACTAAGTCCGCTGTGTGTGCATTGGGGAGGACGATGTCCACATTAGTGGTCCAGGAGCGCCACCTCTGTATCTCCTCATTCCTACAGGCCAGAGTGCCTTTAGGATAGGCGTCCAGTCATGTTGTTGTTCAACAGATGCTTACAGCACGGGCTGGGGGGCTGTGTGTTGTTGGCATGCAGCTGCGGGCCTGTGGAAAGGAACCCAGTTGCATTGGCATACCAATCGCCTAGAGCTGTTGGCAGTCTTCCTCACTCTCCACCATTTTTTTCCGGTGCTGAAGCAGCAGCACTTCCCGGTCAGGACAGACAGCACGGTGGCGTATAACAACCGCATAGGGGTATCCGCTCTCGCCGCATGTCTCAGCGCACCTCCCCTCTGCTCCTCTGGAGTCATACATGACTTAAATCGCTGCTCTCAACGCCAACGCGCTCTCACGGCAGCCTTTACATCCTGGAGAATGGAGACTCCACCCCGAGCCTGTTCAAATGATATGGGCGTGATCGATCTGTTTGCTTCCCCCAAAAACGCTCATTGGCAGTTGATTTTTTTCCCTCACCAGGGGTGCTCTCGGCATGGATGCACTGGCCCACAGCTTGCCTAGGGGCATGCGCAAATATGAGTTTCCCCAGTGAGCTTGCTCGCGCAGTTACTGTGCAAGGTCAGGGAGGACGAGGAGCAGGTCTTGCTGGTTGCGCCTATCTGGCCCAACCGGACCTGGATGTCAGAGCTCTCCCTCCTCGCGATGGCCCTCCCCTGGCAGATCCCTTTGAGAGAGGACCTACTGTCTCAGGGATAGGGCACCATCTGGCACCCTCGCCCCGGTCTTTGGAACCTCCACGTGTAGTCCTTAGACGCGAGAAAGCCATCTCTCTCACTTACCAGAGCCAGGGCGAGCCGTGTCCCGCAGGAGTGCGTGCGCACTCCACTTGGAGCATCGCATCCTCTTGGCCGTGTGCAAGCGACACCTAATACATTTGCAAGGTTTTACAGTCTACGAGTGGAGCCGGTTTCCTCGAGGGTATTAGGTAACCCTTGGTGATTGAGGAAACAACTCAGTTAAGGTGTTGAAACATGCTTGCTGCGCCATTCTCCCTAACACGGAGGTACCTGCACCTTTTCACTCTCAGTAAAGTTCCCCCCTTAGGTAAGCCCAGACTCAGTGGAGGAGTCACTCGCTGGCACATTGCATTGTAGGTCTGCCCTCTGGTCAGCCTGCGTTTTCACATATGCTTATTCAGCCACGGTGCATCTCCTCCAACCCCCCCCCCCCCCCCCATCACCAACCCACCCCCCCCCCCCACAGGTGGACCCGTGCCTTCCCTCTCCGCTAACCATCTTATTATACGTGTACTCCCCCTTCTCAGGGCTAGTCCATATATTCTGGCATAATATCTCCCCTTTTGGGCAGCAGGTGGCCTCCACAGCATCCTCCCCTTTGAGACTGCACACTTTCCCAACGTATTGTCATATTTAAATTCCTAGAAATATATCTAGAGGCTTGCGGCTCCCGAAACGTATATCTAAAACTGTAGATCTTCTTTGAAGTGGGATAAGTAAGGGCCAGGGAACACATTGGAAGACTGCACCTCTCTATGATGCAGGTGCGCTCAGGCTTGCCTGGCAAACCTCTCATCGAAGGCAGAGATAAGGTGCAGTCATTATGGCGTTTTCCAGACATTTCCCATAAGTGGATTAATTCCACTATAGCATTGGAGTTCCCCATCCAAAGGGGAACGCTCTGGTTACTAAAGTAACCCTCGTTCCCTGAAGAGGGAAACGAAAATACTATATTGCGTCGCCATAATGACTGTCTCTTAGCTGTAGGTATCAGTCTCTTCAGCTTAAAAAGGTTGCATCTTCTTGCTTTTGCTGTGCTTTTATGCTAATTGATTGCAACAAGCATCGGGTGTGCAAGCTGACGCTGCCAATTCATTTGGCATTTCATTGGCCCGTTTATATACTCTTTCAGACGATTGGCTTTCTGAACGAAATTCCCATAAGTGGATTAATTCCACTATAGCATTTCCATTCTCGAGGGTTACTTTAGTATTCAGAGTGTTATATGTATTTTATTTTATTATAGTTTTTTTATTTTTGCATTTTATTGTTCACCCTAAATAATTTGTTCTTTTAAATTCATATATAAGTATGTAAAATGTCAAAATAAGTAATTTATAAACTTGTAAAATAGTTTTAGATTCATAAACATTTTGTATAGCATTATATTGAAAAACAAAATAAGATCCAAAAAGTTGCAACTTTTTTTTCAAATTATAAAATGTAAATTTAAATTTTTTTTTAAAGTAACAAATTATTATAAACATGTATTTTAAAAAATCGTTTTAGATGTAAAGCATTTTACATCACATTTTATTGAATGTCCCCTTTTTAGATTGTGGATGAGGTTCCCAACCAGTCTGGTCCATTCAGCATGTTCTCCAGCATTCAGTCAGTCATTGTCACAGGATACATTGATACACCCAGCTCCGCAGTAGGAGTTGTCAGCTACGCCACAGACCTATACTACCACTTTTCCTGCCGTTACCCACTGGAATACCTCCTCAACAACACTGAGATCACAGCGTGAGTAGCTTTTCAGCTCCATACTACACCTGCTGCAATTCATGGCAACCACAGGACTGACCCGATTCACATTTTTTATGCAGGTCATCAGTGTCTGTGGCCACTAGTGACAACAACGGCACATTCATTGATACACTCAGCATGAGAGTCTTCAATGTAAGAATAAATATTTGTAAAAATCTGTACTATTAATGCGGAATATATCACAATGATTATTGTTCCCATGTCAGAGCTCAGATTATAATAGTCCTTTGGTGGTTCCACCGTCTGGATTACCTCTACGCACTAAAGTGTACGTTGAAGTAAAAGCTGCCAATCTCACTGGAAAGTAAGTATGCTTATTTTTCTATTCTTGCATACTTAATTGAAAGTTTAAATGTGGAATGAAACATAATTTTTGTGCTTTTTCCATAGTTTTAATCTACTGTTGGACTACTGTTTTGCAACCCCGTCACCTTATAATACCAGCAACAACGTGCAGTACAACTTTTTTATTGGGTGAGTTAAACCTGATTAAAAGGTTAGTTTAACCAAAAAAATAAAAAATAAATCTGTCATCAATTACACACCTTCATGTCCTTAATCCCCTGAGGCCAATTTCGAAACATTAAATCTAAAAGTTCAAAACAATCCATGTGAATTCAGTGGTTCAACTGCAATCATATAAAGCTTCAAGAACACTTTTTTTGTACCAAAAAAAGATTATTGACTATGTTTCCATCCGCATTTTGGATATGTGCATAAAAAAAACGGTTGACGGAAATGCCATTTTGTTTATAAGTTTTGAAGATGCGCATAAAAAAAACATAAGAGCATAACTGAATAGGATAAACGTTTTATTTGTTAAGAAAAGATGCACATAAACTACGATGCAAACACTTTTACCGCACAAATACAGTATGTGCATTAATAAAAGTCATGTGATTTTGTTATAAGAGATCCTGTGATGATAAAAATCAGCAAGTGACGTTTTTGTACTCTTTGACTCGTTGGATGGAAACGCTGCTTTATTCCCACAGCTATGAAGCGATATTCTAGATTTGAGCATTAGTTTATTTGCATTTTTAGATGGAAACATAGCTAGTGTCTTCTGTATCAGAACAGGGTGTATGTTCACTACGAGCAATATGACACAACATGCCTGTGCTGTGCTGTTGATTCTACTGGCAATATGTTTTACTGCCCGTGGTAAATGCGCACCCTTATGACCTGAATCAGGAGAGACAAGGTTTTTCTTTCCCTGTCTGGTCTTTGAATGTCTCGGGATCTTTGCTGCTGACTGTGGAGGATAAGGGAGCTCTCAGATTTCATCTAAAATATATTAGTTTGGGTGTGATTGTGGACTGAAACAACATGAGAGTGAGTTATAAATAATTAAATTTCCATTTTTGGGTGAAGTTTTGGTTTAAGAATTTGTGGTAACACTTCACAATTTGGTTACATTTCTTAAAATGAAGTAAGTATGTTAGTTAACATTAAAATCAGAAAAATACACCCAAAGTGTATTACAATTCTCAATATTAAGTGATATATTATAAAGTACACATTCTGCATGATCTTACTGCACATCCACAACCTAACTACTACCTTAATAACAATTAAAAAGCAATTATGAGATAACTGAGTCATAGTTAGTTGTATATTAATAACAAGATTAAAATAGATTGGGCACACTTTATTTTAGTTGAAACCAAGCTGCTTCTACTTTTCTGCAAAATTGCTTTGAAGAGATCATATGTAAAAAGGCCCACACTTTTTAAATTCACCAGTAAAGTTGTTCCAGTGATTTTAAAGCAATTTACCATGTTATGCCGAGTTCAGACTGCATGATTTTCAAAGTCGTCGTGTCACAGATGTTTTCACACAGCATGACTATCTGGGCTAGCGTTTCGTCGCTGCTTTGTTTACACTGCAAGATGGATCTGTGACAAGGACTTTCACATTGCATGACTTTACTATAGGAAGAATCGCCGACAAGTTCGTCCAAACTCCGTCTCACAGCCAACAACACGTAGTATGTCTTTTGTTATTAATACATAATGAGAAAGAAGCCTTTAATGGGGTAGAAAATGTCCATATTTGCTCACCTAGGTTTAAAGGGAATTAGCCATTTCTCCTTAACGTTGATAATAAACTAATTTCTTTCTGTATGAAACGTCAAACAGACACGGTTGCTCATGAGTCCGGTCAAACCTGCACTAGTTTTTCCTCCATTTCGTGGGTCCAAATAAACCGAAAAAGATCACTTTTAACTTCTCCCCCAGCCTCCCGCTAGCCTGCAGCAGGTATACACACACGCACACACAAGTGAATGCCGCTCTCTCATTGGCTGTAGGCGATCGCCAATGTTATTTTCAGTCAAAACTCAATTCACACGGTATGATTTGAATCGCCGACAGCTCCAGATATTTAGCATGCCAAATATCTCGCAAGCATCGGCGACTCATCAGCGATTCTCTCAAATCGCGTCTTTGATAGTTCATACTGTGTGATTGTCACTCACATGCACGAGCAGCGATTTGCCTGTGATTTCAGGCATTTGTCGGCGATTTCTCAAAACTTGTCGGCGAGCCAAAATCGGGGCTAAAATCACGCAGTCTGAACTAGGCATTACTGTGTAAAGGGGTCTTATGACTATACCCACATTAAACGTCAAAAAAAATTTACATGCAAAACAAAATTAACACTTGAACACTCCTGAAAATGCAGATTTTATTAAGAAAAATGATTGGCCTTTGCAAGAAACTGAACATTATTGAACAGCCCAAAGCATGTTGGCGACAATCAGTGTCCTGTTACTTTCATTTTTTAAACTTTTAGGTGACAAGGAACTAAAATTTCATCAGGTGACAGAAATGGATACAAAAAAAGAGTGGCAGAAAGAGTTCTCAAAAATTATACTCAAGTAAATATACCATTACTTGCACAAAATTGTAGTTCAAGTTTAGTATAAAAGTATCTTTTGTAAATATTACTCAAAGTATTAGTAAAAAGTAGCCCTTTTCAAAAGTACTCAAGAGTAGTAAGCATTCTGCTGTGAAAGGCTAATGCTTTTATATGCAATTTGTGCTGGTGTGTGTAAACGTAACATTCTATAGTACTTTTAGTTATTGTTTAAGACTATTTGCCAATTTTCAGACTGTGTAAACCAGGGATGTCCAAACTTGGTCCTGGAGGGCTGGTGTCCTGCAGATTTTAGCTCCAACTTGCCTCAACACACCTGCAAGGATGTTTCTAGAAAGCCTAGTAAGAGCTTGATTAGCTAGCCCAGGAGTGTCTGATTGGGGTTGGAACTAAACTTTGCAGGACACCGGCCCTCCAGGACCGAGTTCGGACATGCCTGGTGTAAACCGTCTCTGGGTCATTGCGTGTAAAGATTTTGGACATCTCCTTGGACACTTTTTGCACAGTTTGCTGCATTTTTTTACAGTGCTCATGTCTTGAGGTTAAGAATGATGCAAATTACTTTCTATGTGCGATTTGATTGAATTTGAAAGAACCGATTTTTCTACTCAGCCAATCACCATAGACAAGAAGAAATAAAGTAGTGACTGCAGTTTGAAGGAAAATAGTGGAGTAAAAGTACCGATACTGCGCTAAATGTAGTATTGTATTAAAGGGAAAGTAAAAGCACACATTTTTAAAACTACAAAATTACAATTTCTGAGAAAAACTACCCAATTGCAGTCATTTGACTATTTGTAATCTGTTACTTTGCACCATTAAAAAGTTCAGTCAGAAAACCAGTTCTCAACAAGGTATTGGTACCGCTGTAGATAATGAGTTAATAGTCATCAGTTTTATGTTACCAAATTGCTCAGAATTGACATTTACTGTACTTCTTGATTGTGTTCTGCTTTTTTAACGCTCCTCTGCTCTCCCTCACAGATGCACTATAGAGAACCGAACAACAGTGATTAATAATGGACTTTCCAAGAGTTCCAGATTTTCATTTGAAGCCTTCCGCTTTGTGGAGCATCGTAATCAGCAGCAGTCTACCATTTACCTGCACTGTATATTGCGTCTTTGCGAGCCAAAGAAATGCAATGAACTGATTAATGTAGGAGTCTTTTATTGCTAGACAGGGGTAGAGATTACTGCTAACCTTCATTAACTAACTTTTTTTAAACAATATTTTACTCTTGCAGGCTTGCAACTCTACTGGAGCACGAAGAAAAAGGGCTGCAGTGCCTTACGGAGCAAAAGCCACAGAATCTGCTATGGTGTCTGTGGGCCCTCTGTACACTGAAGCCCTGGGTGAGCCATCTACATACAGTACACACAACAAACCAGCTCTCAGCTTTTTTTTTACTGCGCTTGACCCTGGGTTATCTTCATTCTGAAGCCTACTTTTAAACGGTGCATGCTTGTCATTTTGGGAGAAGGTACTTTCTGCAGAACCAATGGATGGAGATTGACTTTAAAGTTATCAAATTCCACAAAAGTTACTTTTTTAAGCACATTGTTACAGTTGATGTAAGTTAAAGGGTTAGTTCACCATAAAAAAAAATAAATACACTCACAAAAATGGACTCTTCACATAAAAAATCTTAAATTGACTCTTCTAGAAAAATCTAATTTAACTCTTATTTTTATATGCGCTTTTATATACGCTCTCCACTCAACAAAGAGACATAAAAACTTTACCCAAGACTGGAAAATTGTGTATTGTGCTTTTGTAGCAAAATGTTTGTCTTGCTTTCTAAACAGAAATAGATTGTGCTTTCTTATTTATGAATGTCCTGGTTTTTCTAACACCAAATTCTTCAATGTATTAATCAAACTGTATGTTTGTCGAAATTAAATGAAATTTCAGTTGCAAAAAAACTAAACCAAAAACCAGTTCACTCGCACAGTAAATAAAGTAAAAGGCCTATATTCTAAGGCTTATTATAGAGACATCAAGGCATGTGAACCCAAACAGGCCTGATGCACCTCTAGGCAGGATAATTTATTTCTTCGATTAGTATGTTTGCATTTCGTGATTAGATCTAATGATTAGACTGATCCACACACAAAAAACTGACACTCTTCAGGAATTTTATAGTTGTTGGTTTTAAAGTTTACATGGATGACATAGATGTCATGCTCTTTAATAATGCAGTCCTGATGACAAACCTCCTCATGGAACAAGAGAGCTGCTGTATTTACATTTGTGACAATAAACACTTATCAGCTAAATTATTTTATTATTGTAGGGCAAAGCTCAATGCTTTTTTTTTTTTTTACTGATCCAGGCAGGCCAGAGGTTGAGATTTGACTGGCCTTGCCAACAGCTTCATTGATCCCAGCACAAACAAATAAAACTGATGTTTTGTCCCATGTTATCCTGTATTATATACCAAGTTCATTTCATATACAGGGGGGAAAGGAAAAGAAAGAAATACAGAAGAAGAAAGGGAAAACATTTTGGAAAATGAAAAAGGGGTGGGGGATTGGAGTGTTTCTGTTAGAGTTCTTGTTAAAGTACTTAATAAAAGAGTTCATTATTACATAAAAATCCTTTGTTTTTTTTAAAGAGAAAATCTGATCTTATCAAGCTGCAGGGTGGACATATTTTTTAATCAATGTTGACATCAATATTACATTTTTAGAACCGCAACATTACACTGAAGAAAACAAAATGTGTTGTATATTTTGGCTTCTTGTCACTTCAATCAGTCCAGACTGAATGCCATTATTCCGAAGTATGCGAGACTAACCCAAATTAAGCACTTTAAGCAGGGAAAGTGCTAATAAGACCAATCTGAGACCAATCAGTTTACTTAACTTTAAGCAATTTCTAATAAAAGTGGTTTTAATGTGCCAAGATGTCTAACTTCTCCACTTTTTGATCCTATAGTTAAAGATCTTCCCACTGCATCGCCTTATGGTAAGATATTCTTTTTGAAACATTAATCAAAATACTACACTTGCATCAAAAATGATGAACGTGTAGACACTAACAGCACAGTTTGTTTTCTCTTGTGAAACAGGAGGCAATGAGCCGCAAAACCGGGAAAATATGAATGTGGCTGGAGTAATGGCAGGGGTCATTTTCGCCACCGCCGGTACTGTGGGTCTGATCATGGCTGGATGGTTTGTGCTGAAGAAGTTTGTCTGGGCTGGTGGCCTGCCTCGAGCTTTCCACTAAGACTTCCATCAACTCGCCATCTGTTTAGCGTCGAACGAAGCTTAATTTGATATCCCCGATAAGACGTCTGATCACATCACGGAGTCTGCACAAACCATAAAAGAAGCGCTTTGCATAATGCTTAATTAGCATATTGTAATCTACTTAGACAGCAGCCTGTAGTATGGTCACTTTGAATCTGTCTTTTTTTCAAGCGACTGCAAATATTAATATTAATAGATTTAATGAGTTTTAGATGTGCGCTAATATAAGGTGCACTTAGGCTCAGCTGCATTATTGAATGGAGCAAACTGTGGATGTAATCTTTTTGTAATTTTTATGATCATACATTGTTTCTTATACACATTGCTTTTATATTAGCCCAGGGGTTTTCAAATATTTTGGTTTTTAAATATGATCAAAAGTCATTCTTCCAGAAATGAGAAGGCAACTATATTTTATTTATAAAGACCCTTTTATATTGTGTGTGAAATAATATTATTAAGATAATGTTGTGTCCTAAATCAGTGTTTCTTAATCACGTTCCTTTTCCATGTCTCCTTATATCACACCTGATCCAGAACATCAGCTCATTAGCACAGACTAAAAGACCTGAAATAGAGAGACAGTCCTCGCTGCAGCCCTAAGCCTTACCTTAGTGGGTGGTACAAGGACTGATACATAGTTGATGATCGCCTACACCTCGCCGTAACCTAAACCCAACTTTCACAGTAGCATGAGTATAACCTTAGTGGGCGGTACAAGGTCCGCTATAGTTGGCCATAGTTGGCCATCGCATACACTGTCCCTACCTTAAACCCAACCGTCACAGTAGCAAGGTCCGCTACGTAGTTGACGATCGCCTACGTCATCATGCTGCGGGCTGCAGCGAGGACATCTTGGAAATAGATGTGACAGACGAAGGAGACATCCAAAACATGCCGTGTTAATGGTTCTGCAGGAACGTGGTTGAGAAACACTGTTCTAAATTAAACTAAATAATTGGCTTTTATTTTGGAGGCAGTATAACCAAAGTCAGTCAATCTACTGGCTGTAAAAATTTAGTTTTTCTTTTGAACACAAAACAAGATATCACAACATCTTGGTGACAACTGCCATTCATCACTCACTTAAGGCCCCGTTTACACTGTCAGGTCTTGATGCCCAATTCCGATTTGTTGCCTATGTCTGATTTGTTTGCCTGTCTGTTTACATGTTGTTTTTATTGTGACCCATATCCAATTCATGTGTTTACACTTGCCATACAATTTACGATGTCGCGCATGCATAAAGGCGGATTCTAGCATCTGTGCCAAGATGACATGTATAATCCATTTTTAAATAATATTGTTTTGTTTGCGTCTAACCATCCACACAAAATATTCTTATTATTTTGTTGCTGTTGTACCATGGATATTTTCTCAAATTGACATTAAACGTGGAGCTAATAAATTACTAGATAAAATAAGAATTTAATCGGTTGTCATCAGTTAAACAAGCTGAGTCCTTGCCAGAAGCGGCCCGGACTCTACACACAGACTCGGGCCAGATATGGTTAACAGGAATCATCACAAACGGATGTGCGCGGGCGAGCTGCGGGCCATTCTCGGCCTGGATAACATTTACCGATGCTCGAGCTCGGGCCGATTACTACCTGCTATCTGGGACTAGCCACGATGGAAGAAATTGTCTTGTTTTTAGCTCTGCGAAATATGCGAAGTGTAGTAAAAGCAGTGAATGGTTCAGTTCAGATTTACCCCTACGCAGTTTATGTCATGGTATGGCCCTGATGTGTGTGTGTGTGTAGTTGAAGATGTAGCTTTTGCCTGTGTGTGCAGTGCTGCGCACTGGTGTTGGAGAGAATAAAGTGGTTCTATGTGAAGCCGCAGTGCGTGTATTAATAGCGACAAAAAGCAAAAGTTACAACACGAAGTTCGCCCAACTTTAAAAGGATTTTGAGGCGGAGGTGGAAAAGGGCCATCATCAGAGCTTGCACTTATGGTTTATGTGCTGTATGATGTTCTCCACCATTCAGAGAGAGGTCTCAGGTCTGGTAGGAGCAAATTGTGGCGACTGATCACTTTCCTCCTCTGTGTTTACTCGGATGTTGTTTACCGCGTCGGCATCTCCACATACGCTCGTTCTTCTGTCATTAAACCGCGGAGAAGCACCACATTGTCGTAAGTTTAATGATGTACAGAACGAAATACCTCAACAAATCCAATCTGGCTGTTTACATGACAGTCGCATTGTCACATATCTGATCTATCTCTGATTTATTTCCACATATGAAGGAGGCCTGAAACCAATCTCTGAATATCTGAATGCATGGGTTGTTTTTTTGAGTTTACACATTCATAGAACAGATCCGATCTGTGTCGCATATGAGCAAAAAATAGCAATTGGGTCACATTTAACTGGCAGTGTTTAAGGGGGCCTTACTATAGAAGTGAATGGGACCAAGTACTGTTTGGATATTTGCATTGCTTAAATGTCTATTTTTATTTAGGAAAAGATTGAAGAACCTACAGGATTGGAACGAAGTTTGAGGATAAATACATGATGATAAAAGTGTGATGTTTCCACAAACTATTACTTCAAAATAATATTAGTAAATTTTCTCCTTTTTATAAATATTTGAAAATTGGATGTAACTTCTGTTTGAAAACCCCTGTATTACAGCCAATGACTTGCTGCTTTCTTGTATTTTAAAGGCATAATAACTATTTAGATGCTATGTATTTAGAAAGAAAAACTTTTATTAATACACAGAAGTTGATGCAATAATCATCAGACAACATATATGTTCATTTCAAATACGTACAAACTGATCTTCTTAACTATTTCCAAAACAGCATGTCAACACATATTACACACAAAAACATTCAGATTTCTCTTTGAAAACTGTACAAACCACAATATATTTACACAAAGCGACAGATCACAAAACAGTTGTTATTTACAATACATTACAGTTGTATTTCTGACAGGAATGGAGATGTGTTTAATTTAGGGTGTGTACGATGTCTTGTAACAGCGCTGTGAGTCTTGTGGAGAAATCCTCCTGTATGGACTCAATGTTTGTCTGATGGAAACCAGTTGACTCACCATGGCTCTGGCTTTCTTGGAGCGTTGTCATCTGCTGGTCCAAGTTAGAAATAAACTGTTGATTCCTAGTGGCAGAGTTCTGGCAGAACTGATCCACCTTTGAAGCCATCACTTCCCTTGGAGGCTGTGCCGACGCAAGATGGCCTATCAAAGCAATCTTGAGCGCAGCAACTTTTCCTTGTACCTCTAAACTAAAGGTACAAACTTCTTGCCCAAGCCTGGCGGTGACTTCCTCCCATAGTTCCTTTCCGCTGCTGTCTCTTTCCTCCTCGACAGCCTCGAATGCTTTCGTTTTAAAGTCCTCAAAGGCTGCTGTTCTTTTCTGGTGGCTTTCATCCAGAGCTGTTGTGATCTTTTGCACAGCCTCCTGGTAAAGCACTGCATCCTCTGGGTTCAGCTCCTGGAGGTTCAGGTTGAGTTTCTCACAAAGGTTTTGAGTGTTGGATTGGAGAACCGTCTGGAGCTGTTTGGTAAAGGGGGCGAGGAACTCTTTCACATTGGCTAGAGTGTGTTTGGGATGGCTGGGGTAAGGAGAGAGTCTTTCTCTCAGCTCGGCGAGCTCCTGCTTCAGACGGGCCCTCAGCCGCTCAGACTCCATGCTTAGTTTGCGCCTCAGTTCTGCTGCCATTGGGTTGTAAGAGTCTTCAGAGTAAAGGTCACTGCTCACTACATGGTTCTTCCACATAGAGCTGCAAAAGTAAGGTTGAGGGGTCAATGACTGAGAGCGTATGTGATAAAGCAAAGAAGAAATCAAAGCAATCCTGTGTACAGCTCAGATGCCATTCTGTTTTAATGCAATCAAAGAAGTATGGTTTGAATTCTTTTGGTTTATTGCATCTTCTACTGATTCAGGATGAGGAGATTGGAGTGCTACATATTTTAATAAAATAAAATAAAGTTTTTGCAAGGCATTTAAAATGTGCTCTTTGTCTTATTGTTGAGACAGTTGGTGTAACCGTCAAGTTAAAAGAAACCTTACACTTTTGATACATTTCAGAGTCAACTTTGTTTCATTATTTTCAAAACTCTTATTCATAGTTTCATTATCTTTAATTTTAAAAAATGTTATTTCTTTGGATAGTTGCACTATATTTAGTGACAAGTTGGCCTATTCAAATAAATGAAGCAATAAGATAATCTAATGCCAAACTACTTTAGGTTTTTATGTCATTATTATGTTACAACACTTGAATCAAAATCACATTTTAACATCACATTGTCATCTAAAAAATATAAAAATAAATTATTAGTATTTCATAAGATATAAAAAAACAAACAAAAACTAAAATTATTGTCCTATAATTTAACTGCAATTATTTATTTTTATTTGTTAAATTATATTATAATCAACACATTATAACTTGTATGTTTTATAAAAAATTCTATATTAGTTTTATATTATATTAATATTTTTTATATTTATACATTTCTATCACTTCATGGTTTAGTTTACATGAACTAGAATACCCCTTCATCATGAAGTGAATTCCAGACAAGATTTAATAAACGAAAATAAACAAAATAAGAGAATCACATGATTATGCTATTGGTTAATCAAGAGTAAACTTACTTTGAGTCTTTGTCAAAATTCTTCTTGTCAGTGGCCTGATTGTCTTTCTGTAAACTCCATGCATCTCGACTGATCTCATCATTGAGTGGAAATGCTGAAAAGAAATACAGTTTCATGAGTCATTGTAAAAATTCTATCAAAACTAATAAATCACGTATGAAATACTACAAACCTGCTGTGGAAGCAAAGGCCAAAGCCAATGTAATAAACTGCAGATTCATGTTTCTTTGCTGATAAAGTTAATTCTAAAAACAAAACAGAAAATTTACATTTAGTTAGATACATCAGTTAAAAATATTATTGGCTGTCAATGACTCAAACGTCATCGAGTAATTGTTCAGCAATCTGACATCTGGCTCTTACCTGTTGATGAGAAAATGAGAGTTTCTTTCTCAGGGTCTACTTTTAAAGCAGTCCCTTATCAGAGGTTGTCCTGCTTCTCATCTGTGTCAACACAGACCACGTGGAGGGTCACTTTGATAACGGCAGGCGTTAGGAACTTAAAGCTATTTTGCAGATTGGTCTCTTCAAAGCTACTCGTTTCCAACAACACAGATTCACAGTAGCCACAGTGATGTCACATCAAGGCCAATACTGACGTAATTCCAAGTCAGGCAAGGTCAATGCTATTGGAATATGTTTACTACAAACCTGAGGTGTTTGGACACTTTTAATTTTATGGTTGAGGACTTTTATTTGAGTCTTTTGCAGTATTTTAATTACAATAGTACGACCTATGATACAGACTTCATACAGGATGCTCTGTCCTGGCTATAAAGTTCAGTCAGTGAACTGAATGGCGTGAAATTTGGCTTAGTTCTACTTGGCTTTCCCACAGCAATGGCACAGTCACAAAGAATGAACCCTCAGGCCTGTGGTCGCTGCAGTATCTCTAGCTTTGCGAACAAAGGTGCTGTTTGTTTGTACTTTACTGAATGGGTCCACTTGGGTTTGCTTTGAGTGTACTGGGCCATTGCTGGTGATAAACAAAAAGCTAACAGTGGCTATCTTTGAACATTTAATTAGTTCGGTTTAGACCCACTTTCTGGCAGCTGTATAACAGAGTTATAAAAAAAACAAACACTGCACAGGGAATTTTGCCATAAAATGGCATCATTGAAGTGTCCAAACATGCTGTTTAGCTCAGGGTAATCAATGTATTGTTGTGTAAATCTAAAGAACCACGTCATTTGGTTTGTTCATTTTGGACTCTAAACTTATCCAGGGGTTGACTACAAAACATGTTTTTTTTTTATTTTTCAACAGAAATTCCAATGGCATAAATCCACTAAAGAGGCTATAGTTCTCTAAATAGTGAAACTTTGATATTAATGTAATCAAAACTTTAACAAAAGTACAAGGTTATTCAACAGTACTATAAATACATGGTTAATTTTTTTAAAGGAGCATCAGTGCAGTCTGGGCAATAACATTGCTAAATCATGTTGTCATACAATCGTGTTGACTTTGGAGCAACATTTTTACATTACTGGCATATCACTAAATATCTTTCTTATCTACAAAACGTTATATCAGTGACCCAAAAACCGAACAAACTTCCTACACATTAGCAGAACTGGATCTATCCGACTGCATTCATTCACAAACTTATTGAACTCTGGAAGACTTATTCACGTGACACACGCCCACCTGTTGACCCCCAAAGCTGGCAAACGACAAGATGCGCTTACATGGTTTATTTAAACAGATTGTAAGTAAATATTTCATCTCTTCTGTTCAGTTTCGTTCAGTTTTCCAAGTTTTGAAATCGCTCAAAACGAATCGAATGAACCGATTCACCTCGCGTTTGAAAAGAGCCGACTCTAAAGAGTGATTCGTTCCTGCTTCAGATTTATTTTTCACTTTATTAATTCAATTCCTCAAGAACTAGAGGTAATACATATTCAAATAGTTTATCAGCTTCGGAATTTGGGACTGTCGTAAGTAGCAGACGCACGTCATAATATTGAACTTATAACGTATATTTTTGTCATGAAACAATCAATGTTCATTATTGTTTCCAATGGTGCAACATTTTGTTGCTACATTTAGCAAATGTTTAAGTCTAACGTTGATCCAGCAATTTTCTAAAGGGACCCAACAACATATTTTGCAATGAAAAATGAGATGTGTAGCTAACTTAGCTTTTTCGGTTATGTACGGCAATTCAATGACGTTATTAATCAAACTTTAATAAAATGTTATGTTTTCAATGTTTTGAGGGATATTAAGTGGTTCTCAATGACATTTGTAATATTAAGTAAATGGTGACAGGTTTGCTTTCCAGCACCTGGATAACCATAAAAACTGTACAATTTTTTTTTTTTTACTGTTTAGCTACGTGCATGCATGATAAAATACTAACTATGCATCTAGTTCTACGGACACCTACGTCTTTTTTAAAGAAACACGTTTTGTGAACACTCACACAGTCTGTCCATGCTGTGTAGATTTGCCTGATGAATGAATACTTTTTTGGCGCAAACATTTATTCACAATGGTATGAACCAATATGGGGGTGTTCACTGGTCAAATGTATATTGAAGTTATCTATTATTTTAATTATTCATATTACTTAAGATATATAGAGGACAAAACCTGCAAAAACAGTAAATTAATAAATACGCAAATATAAATGGGTAATCCATAATTCCTGTGTAAATAAAATAATAAATAAATAAATAAATGTTTATAAAAATCCACAAATTCCTGCATAAATAGATATTTAAATAATTAATAGTGCAGACAGGTAAATAATTAAATAAACCAAACAAGGGAAAAAAGAAAACAGTAAACTGAAAGTTTATTTTAATGAAAGTTTGAAAGACGGTAAAAAAATCATCTTTCAGTTTAACATTTTCTTATTTCTTGTAATTTATTTAATTTAATTTAGAAATTTTTAATGTTTTATTTATACGTTTAGGTACTCATATTAATATATATATATATATATATATATATATATATATATATATATATATATATATATATATATATATATATATATATATATATATATATATATATATATATGCGTATTTGTTTATTTTGATGCGTATTTGTTTATTTATTATTTATTTATTGTTTATTGATATATTATTTAGTTTCGTCCTCCATAAAGATACAGATCAGAGCAAACTATTTCTCAATTATTAAAAGGCAGACCCCCATATATTTTGTTTTGATGTCCATCAGGAGGAATCAATCATTAATTAGGGGGGTCAGACCCCTCCCCCATCCCCCCTGTTATTTGTACCCTGCTTGTACTTATAATTCTTGATCAGCATGGTAATGTTACACTGTTAGAAAACAATATGAAGGGAAATAAAAGCTAGCCTCTGGTAAATTTCTGTTTACTGAAATTCAGGTGACTCTAAAAAATGCAATGTTTAATAACAAAAAAAATAATACTACAAGTAGTAAAATACTATCTAGTGATGTTACTATCTAGTGATCTACTATCTAGATTCAGCGGTAGATACCGTCAAACCTTTTCCCTATTTTATCCTGCTATCCGGTATTAACGTGCATAAAAATTATAACATAAGGCTCAGACAGCGTCACCAAACTGTTGGCTTGTGCCTAAACCATTCACAAACTGAATACCGTATATGCAACCTTAGGTTCGCGGTCACCTGTTTGTCTTGTTTGTATTCTTCTGCGCGGGACGCTCTCTCTGATTCACACACACACACATTCTATCATTTGCTTTTTTAAATGCCATTTCAAACCCGCAAGATAGGGTTGGGCGGTAATATGGTGTACCACGGGATCTAAAAATAGCAACGTTGTCAGTTTCAATACCATTAATTTCTGTCAGAAAAAACAATGCACTTAAATAGAAGACCAGTATTTAATAGTAAATATCCTTTATTTTAATGCCTACAAATACGTATGCGTGATTGTCATCATGGGACAGTGTGGAGGAGAGAGAGGGAGAGGTGAGGTGGCGAGTCGCGCACCAAGTGACCTGCAGTTTGGCAGTATTTCCGGTTTCGACCGAACGAGAACACAGACGTGGTAAATATGAACTAGAGGTCTGCATTCCTGCTGCTGTACCGCCGGGACCGACCAGATTTCTTGCGGTGATGGAATAAATTTCAGAATAAAGCACGGGAGCGGTCGGTAACTCTAGTGTAATTTGAAAGGGAGCGGGCGCACAATCTAACAATTTCGCTCCCGAACACTCTCTCTCTCTGTGTGTGTGTGTGTGTGTGTGTGTGTGTGTGTTTTATGAACAAGTCTAAAGCTACATTATGCTGCAACAAATCAAACTGCTAAAAATTAGTTGACAACCAATTGTAAATCTGTAAATTCATGTGCTGTTATAATAAATGTACGCCATAATGAAAGAATTGCAACTCTCTGTGTTTGCAAACAAGATATTGGATGAGAGTTAAACTAACAATAACAAATTGTGCAACATGTTGTTATGTGACAATAGGTATCAGTTACTATAAAATTGTAAAATATATATAATCATTTTATGTCTTATAATGTCATTTTTATCAGGCCATTTAATAAATCTACCCTGTCGTTTGAAATCATTATTACGTAGTGCTGAAAGTGTGTGAAATGTGAAAATGTATTACATAATTAAGTCACCATAAGGTCATAGTCCACACACTCTGCTGAAGTCATTAATTCAGGGTCCAAGTTCATTCATTTTGAAGCACATCACAAAAAATTATGAGGTCATAAGTAGTAAGCATGGCATGTACTTTGCATTTATGCTTTTAAAAGTACTGTTTGTACTCCAAATTGTATTATTAAACTGTTAGATTGTGAATACTAGACATAACTCACTTGAACAGCTCAGTTTTTGCTTATGTAAGTGTTTTTTTTGTGTTAATTTGCACTTGCTTATAGTGATATAGACCTCTGAATCCTGCAGGTTCAACTTTAACCCAGATATCGCAATCGTTTTAGACTGGCCATGGCCTTCTCGCCTACTGGATCCATCAAAGGAATGAAGCCAAATGATGTGAAAAACAAGGTTTGTTGTTTTAGCGTCGCCTCGCTTGTTTGAATATGGAGTGCCTGATTGTGTCCTGGCCTGCCAAATCATTTGAGAAAATGCACACTAGGAGAAAATTTCTGCTTGGACTTTGAACTTTTCTTCATATTCTGCAACTTGTGACTGATTTCATGTTTTCATATCTGCTAAAAGACATTTGAAGCACAGCCAAAGTTATTAATCAGTTTCATGGTTTCACTTGTGGCCTGAAAGCAGACCTGGCAGCATCAGGTTGCATCTTTCTGCCTATTGGCATGTGTGATACTTTATCTGTAGACTGTTCATGAATCATTTAGGATGGCAGGGAAAGGGCTTCCTGTATGCCTTCGAAAGTCTCTGAGCCCTGGACAGCAGACCAAGATGATGTGCCTCTGCTGGCCTTCCCTGCTTTACTGGTTCTTCACCTCCACACTGAACACGGTCATTGGATCAAATATAACTCTAAGACTTTCTGAAGGATCTTCCTGCAGACCAGGTAAATAGCTTTTTTTCTGTTACACAACAGAGTGAAAATGCAGCAAGTGGGTGTTTATTAGAGTCTCAGGGGACTAAACAAATAACATTTGAATACAAAGAATTCATGTTTTCTCTATTTTACAAACGTATTTTATGATTTTATCGTTATTTTATAACCTTGTTGTATACTGTTAAACTGTAAAGATGCATTATAAAATTATTCAAATGTCAAAAATATGGGGATGTAAAAAAATCAGATATAAAAACAAAAGAAACTTTTTTTATTTAGTGGTCAACTGTGATGGTCCAATATATAAATATTCATTCATTCATTTTCTTTTCGGCTTAGTCAGTTTATTAATCTGGGGTTGCCACAGCGGAATGAACCACCAACTTACCTAGCACATGTTTTAGGCAGCGGATGCCCTTCCAGCTGCAACCCATCTCTGGGAAAAATCCATACACATTCATTCACACTCATACACTATACAGATAATTTAGCCTACCCAGTTCACCTGTATCGCATGTCTTTGGACTGTGGGGGAAACCGGAGCACCTGGAGGAAACCCACGCGAACATGGGGAGAACATGCAAACTCCACACAGAAACGACAACTGACCCAGACGAGGCTCGAACCAGTGACCCTCTTGCTGTGAGATGACAGCACTATCTATTGTGCCACTGCGTCACCCAATATATAAATAATGATTATTAAAATGTAAAAACTTTGGTCATATTGAAAATTTAAGCAAGCAGCTAGCTCTCTGCAACTCATGGTGTAGTACCTGAATGGGAGACCACATAGGAACGATATGTTGCTGCTGGAAGGGGTGTTAGTGAGATCAGCAGTGGGGCGCTCAACCTGCGGTTTGTGTAGGTCCTAATGCCTCAGTGTAGTAATGGGGGACTCTAGGTTTAACCCCGGCATCCTGGCCAAATTTGCCAACTGGCCTCTGTCCATCATGGCCTTCTAACCATCCCCATATCATAATTAGCTTTATCACTCTCCACCAAGTCTCCTCTCCACCAATCAGCTATTGTGTGGTGTGCGATCTAGCTAAATATGGCAGCCGACATGTCATCCAGGTGGATGCTGCACACTGGTGGTGGAGTGGGAGATGTGCACAAAGTGTAAAGCACTTTGACTGTCCAGAAAAGCACCATATAAATTTAATCTATTCTTGTTAATAATATTAGATTGTTTGAATTGACATTTTCGACTAAGCTGTTAATAGAAAAACGTAACACATAGTCTAAAAAAAACAAGTAAGTCTGAAACAAGTAGTGAGTCTGAAAAGTGTATTTTAGTAGCCTTTTAGAAATTCTACTGGGCTAAAATAAATCAAATATATACAGTATGTAAAGATTTGGTAACTGGACTATATATTCTATCTGATAACCTTTTAATTTTATGCATTTATAAGGATTTTACTGCCTGGAAGGAGGTGAGGGTCCTATTCCCTGCCCCAGAGGAACATTTGGACCAAGTTCCTGGGCCACGACCATAAACAGCTGTATCAGCTGTCCACCACACCACTATGGGCCTAGAGAAGGCTTGAGCAATTGCCTGCCCTGTGGGCCTTGGTCACATCAGCCTCAGCCAGGACAGGACAGCTGTACATGTCTGCAAGAAGGTCAAGTCTTCCAGGTAATAACCCACTGTTTACATGCCTTTCAATGAGTTTGCAGCCATGTAGAGAAGCAATCTGCAGCCGTCTGCTCATGTTTCAGCCTGGTGGGAGTCTGGTTACCAACTCTCACTGACTGCTGAAGGCTCTTTTCATCAGCTACCAGTCAACAGGGATGTGAGTCAGGATTTGTTGTCTCTGTCTCTAACTGCTGACTTTTGAATGTAGGCCAGTGATGGGCAGTGTGCCTGTATGTTGGGATATACACTGAAAGGAGAAGCTTGTGCGCTGAACGTCTACGAGATCTGCAAAGACGGAAGAGCACGTAACCAGCATGGAGACTGTCTAGACCACAAACAATGGAAGCAGTATTGCTCACAGCAGGTGAGGAAATGGAGGACATATTGGGAGGTGTGTACTACAGTCATGCTGTTTGCACAGGGAGCATGACGTACTTGCAGTGTTGCCATTGAATATTTCATGAATGGCACGTGACAAGTTATTTTCCTCTTGAAGGTCATTCAGTTTTGGATGTTTCCTGAGTGTTGAATGGTTTACCAGCAAGTCAGTGACCTAAAATACCTCCCTCCTCTTGTCAAACATATAAGAGTGCCTCACATGTATCAGTGCACCTGATGTGTGACTTACCCTTGGACCCAAAGTCATTTAATGACTTCCAGTTTGTTCAAATGAAAGCTGCAAGATTTTTAAGTCAACCTCCCAGCACGGCCCATGAATTTAGATGTCTTCCATTGGCTGCAAAGAAAATTAAGATTTGAAATCAGTGAAATTATGGGATATGCATGGATATGTACCTTCTTCCATTTCTTAATGACTTGTTTCAGACTGACAAGTGTAAGATCTCCAAATCAAAATTGGTACCAATTTATTGTGATATTTAATTATATAAATGTTTTAAAATATAATCAAGTCAAGCTGAGCTTTATTGTTATTTCTCTACATGTGTAGATATACAAAAATATTGTGCCTCGCATGACCATTGTTCTACATAAGTAAACATAAATATGAACACAACACTGGATGTAAGAGCTATTATAAACCTATACATATCTAAAATACCAGAGCGGTAATCTAACTATACTAGCTACTAACAATGTATATAGTATACATAGTTAAACTATACACACAACCTAGACAGTCTATACAAGTACTTTTAGATAAGAAAACAATATTGGGCAAGATATTGTGGAAAGGATTTAAGGTTGAGGAAAACATGATTTATGGTACATTCACAAGTAAACACTGCAGCAGATGCATTCTAAATAGTGCATACTTATGCACTATTCTAGGTCATTTTGTACTATTAATACTGTAAGTAATGCATTCACACTGAAAACTCTAAAAACAATAAGTGCACTTTAAATATCCAGATGATGCACTTTAAAGAAGTGTGGAATGTTGGACACTTCATGCTCTCATGGATGCAGTTTAGATGAAGGGGTGGGGCTTTCAGGCTCTTAGTTAGATTACGTTAAGGCTGCGTCCAAAATTGCATACTTCCATACTATATACTCTACTAGTGTTATTTCAAAATTCATAGAATGGGGTATATGCAGACGTATGTGGAAGGATTTTTAGTTTGTCTGTTACCTTGGTCACGCGCTTCCACTGTCTGCAATTACAAAATCGGTGCGTTTAAGGTCTGTTTTCTTTAAAAATATGTGACATCCGCTATAAAGTGGGTCTCAGAATGTACAAGACACACTGCATTAAATTAAATTTTTTCCTGCTATGTCTAAAATAAGAACCTTTATTTTACCCCAGTATATTCAATGGAGCTTCTGCACTAGCCTGCTAATCCTGACGGGCGTGTGCGTGTAAACAATTTTTATCTTGTTTTATGCTTGAGCAACTAAATGCATGATGAAGTCTATTTAAATGATTATATTTTAATTACATTACAACATCCAAGCTGTAAAATGAACCGTATAAAATGGAAAAAAGTCACATTAACCGTTCACCGGAAGTTTATCAGTATGGGAAGAAACATAGCTCTGCATATACCCTATTTGGAAAACAGGATGCGTAAAGTGCCTGGATGACCTACTACTTACAGCGAGATTCTAAAGTGCGCATCCGATGCATGCTACGCAATCTGATGATGATCCATGGTGGAATTCGTGAATGGTAGTGAAGCGACGCATCTGATGTCACATGATCATGACAATATTTGGCACATAGTACGTCCAAGTTCCATTCATACTGCTCACATTCATACTTTTAGTAGAACATACTTTTCTAATTGTTGATTAGTACATATAATTGAAATGCAGTACCTACAGTTTAGTTGGCTATTTTGGACGCAGACTTTCTTTATTTTGGATTGTGAAAAGGAAAATTCTCCTACCAGAGTGATTATATCGCCTCCCTATGGTGAATACAGTTATACTCATGGCAGGTAATGTTAGGTAGTTTGGTCATTCATTTCACTAATTTGGCCATCGTCAAATATCACCTAGAAAACGGCTAGAACTTCTGCTTGGAAAAAAAAACATTATTGTTCCATTTGGGACGGGTGGTTTGTCAACTCCACTCACCTGTGTGAAGCACACTCAGAAATAAACATAGTGATATTCATTTCAATATCTATTTATTTATAGCATGAATTAAGGCTTCATTCTCTTCTCATTAAACATTTGGTTTTATTGTGAAGTTTTGTTTAACATTCTGATGATTCATTCAGTAAACAAACAAATTATGAGCAGGTCACTGAATCATTTGTTTAAGAGATTTGTTCAAATATGCTGAAGGCTTTATGAGTGAGTCCTTCATTCAAGAGAGGGTTTCAAATTTGCTTTATCCATTAATGAAATGAGTGAGTGAGAAAATGATACTTTTGTGAAAAAATATTGATTTTTCTTTTTCTAAAATTGACAGGAGCTAATAAAGTTTTATCAGGCCCAATGTAACTTGCATGCCATTTCATTTGCGTCAGAAGAAACCCAATCTCTGTTATTTCTGAATCATGTTCCTCTACTGTGTAAACAATGTCAGCAGGTTTTAGTCCAGTGTGATTAGCATTCACTAGTATTTCCAGGAACAAGATAATGCTCTCAAGATTACAATGAGCCCATCTGCATGAGTGAGTTTTTACAGCTTATGGATAGTTGTTCATTTTTCTGTATCTCTTTGCAGGTGTGTTCATCTCCTGACCTGTACGAGGGTTATGATGTCTCTCTGGGTCTGTGTATGTGCAGAGGTTTGCCCAGGTCTGAGCCGGACAGAGCTGAATGTGCAGGCTGGTGCCGGAGCCTCCTTACTCCGGTTCTACAACTTGTTTGCACTGGAAGCCTTTACTTGCTCTACACTGAGGCTAATCAACAGGTCAGTCCTGTTGACCACACAAATCTTTAGTAAAGAGGCCCAAAACATAATAAACATGGTCAGTTTTTGTACTTGTTTGACAAATATGATTAAAACCTTTTCATTTTTCACAGTAACTTGATTTATTTTTATACATACAAATATAAAGTGTATATAAGCTTATTACACTTTATATTTGCATATATACAGTGCATCCAGAAAGTATTCTAAGCACTTTACTTTTTCAACTTTTTTTTAACTGTTACAGCCTTATTCAAAATGGATTAAATTCATGTATTTCCTCAAAATTCTACACACGATACCCTATAATAACAATGTGAAAAATATATTTTTTAAATTGTTGCAAATTTCTTAAAAATAAAAAACCTGAAAAATCACATGTACATAAGTATTCCCAGCCTTTGCTCAATACTTTGTTGATGCACCTTTGGCAGCAATTACAGCCTTAAGTCTTTTTGAATATGATGCCACAAGCTTGCCACACCTGTCTTTGGGAATTTTTGCCCATTCCTCTTTGCAGTACCTCTCAAGCTCTATCAGGTTGGATGAGAAGCGACAGTGTGCAGCCATTTTCAGATCTCTCCAGAGATGTTCAATAGGGTTTAGATCTGGGTTCTGGCTGTGCCACTCAAGAACATTCCCCGAGTTGTTGTGAAGCCACTCCATTGATATTTTGGCGGTGTGCTTTGGGTCAGTGTCCTGCTGGAAGATGACCTGTCGCTCCAGTCTGAGGTCAAGAGCACTCTAAAGCAGGTTTTCATTCAGGATGTCTCTGTACATTGCTGCATACATCTTTCCCTCTATCCTGACTAGTCTTCCAGATCCTGCTGCTGAAAAACATCCCCACAGCATGATGCTGCCACCACCATGCTTTACTTTACTTTATGGTGGTGGCATTAGCCTGGTGATGAGCGGTGCCTGGTTTTCCCAAAACGTAATGCCTGGCATTCACTCCAAAGAGTTCAATTTTAGACTCATCAGACCAGAGAATATAGTTTCTTATGGTCTGAGAGTCTTTTGGAAAATTCCATTTAGGGATTGTCGTCCATCTGGCCATGATGATGGTTGTCCTTCTGTAAGGTTTTCCTCACTCCACAGAAGAACGCTGGAGCTCAGACTGAGTGACCATCGGATTATTGATCACCCCCCTAACTAAGGCCAGTCACCCCGATCACTTAGCTTATATGGCCGGCCAAATCTTGGAAGAGTCCTGGTGGTTCCAAACATCTTCCACTTACGGATGATGGAGGCCACTGTGCTCATTGGAACTTTTCTGTAACCTTCCCCAGCCTTGTGCCTCGAGAAAATCTTGTCTTGGAGGTCTACAGACAATTCCTTTGTCTTCATGCTAAGTTTATGCTTTGACATGCACTGTCAACCCTGGGACCTTATATAGACAGGTGTATGCCCTTTCAAATCATGTCCAATAAACTGAATTTACCACAGGTGAACTCCAATTAAGCTGCTGAAATATCTCAAGAATAATCAGTGGAAACAGAAAGTACCTGAGCTCAATTTAGAGCTTCACGGCAAAGGCTGTGAATACTTTTGTACATGTAATTTTTTAGTTTTTTTTTTTATATTTTTAAATTTTCAATTTTTTTTATAGTTTTTATTTTCTAGTCATCAAAGAATATAGCATGCAAAAAATTTAATCACAACTGATTAATAATAAATGTTTCCTGAAAAGCAAATCAGCATATTAGAATATTTTTTGAAGGATCATTTGACACTTGAAAGTATTTGATACTGTAATATTACTAAAAATGCAAGTCGGAATCAGAGAAATAATTACATATATCACAATAAATGAACATGGAAAATGGTTACTTGAAATGTTTTTGTTACTTGTTTGGGTGTATTTCTGATTAGTTTTGTATTTTTTACAATTATAATTAGCTTTAATTTAGTTTCTGCCAGGGCAACACATTTTTAAATATATATATATATATATATATATATATATATATATATATATATATATATATATATATATATATATATATATATATTTTTTTTTTTTTTTTTTTGAAATGTTATGCGATTTAGGAATGAAGCATTCAAATTAAAAGTACAACTACAAAAGATTTCACTCTGGTGAGGTTGACAGTCTTCAGCTTGTTTATAAAAGTAGAGCAAACGTAACTTGATTCAACTAAATTAATCTAACACAACTTAAAACACAATACAATTACTAATAAAAAAATGATGACTGTACTCAATTGATAAATACAATGGAAATGTCGAAAGCCGTATCACATTATGACTGTATAAGCTCTTCAGCAGCAACTGAAAACTGTATACACTTTCATAAACAATTAAATATCATTTTTCATATGACAATTAAGTCCAAAAAAAGAAGATGGGAAACACAGTACATCTGGATAACCTTTCATCGAAGTACACAATATGAGGGATTTGTACAGGACATTGAGACACATGGCACAGCCCTGCTCGTACACGCGCAAGAGCTCAAACACAAGCAGCATTAAATAACACTCTGACCTATTTGACATTAAGCTCCCCTTGTGTTTTCTTAAAAGGTGAGCGTGTCAGAAAGCATGCTGGAGAGCGTCCTTAAACACTGGGACTCCCGAGGGAGCTTTGAATGCAGTGCGCAGATCAACTTCTCCAGGCCGGTGTACACAGTTCAAACAGGCGGTGAGTGGACAGGAAGGTGGAGAGAGGGTGTGCTGAGGGTGGTTGATCATTGGCTTGTTCTCTGTTTGCTGTTGTACAGAGGCGGGATTCATTGGACTGCTCAATTCTGTCCCTGTGGAGGTCAGGAGGATTATTCTGGCCCACAGGCAGGGGGCCGAAAGCCATTTTGAGCCCCTAGAGACAAACAAAGGTAGCTATTACATTAGTATGGAATATATGGAGTAAAGTTTGGAGTATTTTTTATTTTTTTTACTTTATTTATGAAATAATAACACCCAATAGTGTACATCATATATATATATATATATATATATATATATATATATATATATATATATATATAACAAATTTATCTCTGTGGTATTACTTGATGCCAACTAGAACATGCACCAAAACACTAGCAAAAATTACAGTAAATTACATCTATATTTTATTTAGCATTATATAACCATTAGATTAGTTATTATATTATTAGTTATGATATATATATATGTAACAGTAAAATATATAATAATAATAATATATTATATTACAAATTCATTATATTAAAATTTTGGCATCATCAAATTATATCAAACAGATTAATGGAATAAGAGACATTGTTAAAATGTACAAAGTTTGTCAGCACAATAGCCTATTATAATATCCTATAAATAGGATTTATATAAATTAGCATAACAATATAATATAATATAATTTATTAATGATGATAATAAAAATAATAATAATATTTAATAATAATAATAAAATAATATAAATATATTAAAATTTAAAAAGAATAATAATAATAATGATAATATAATTTAATAATACTAATAATACAATAATAATTATAATAATGTAATTTAATAATAATAATGTAATTTATTAATGATAATAATAATAATATAATTTAATAATAATAATAAAATAATAATAATATTAACAACAATAATAATAATAATGTTTTTTAATCACAATGTGACAATGATGACAAAACATTAATGTTTTATAAGATTTTTTAAATGATGGCATCTAATAAAAAATGTTTCTTGAACACCAATTCAGCTTCATACACTGAGTATTAAAGAATCATGTGAAAAAATAAATAAGAATTTAAACAAAACATTAAAGTATTAATTAAATCAAATGTATTGAAATTTTTAGGAATTCCTCTTTGTGCTTGATTTGAGTTATTTCTTTGTATTTATATTCAAGGATTGTATATGTAAATTGTATATTATATATATATAAATGTAATACATGAAAATAAAATAAATTCACAATGTAAATTATTTTGCATTGTATCTGATTTGTCAAGATGTTAAAAAATGTATTTATATTTTCTAATGTTTTTCATTTAGTATATCACTTAAAAACTACTTATTTTTTTGCCTGTAGTTCATGTATGGGTCACCCTTTATTTTGATGGTCCATTTATTGAATTTACTGTAAGTTACATTGCATCTACATGTCAACTAATTCTCATTAGATTATGAGTAGACTGTTAGGTTGGGGTTAGGGTATGGGTTAGTGTAAGTTGACATGTACTTGCAAAGTTTCTTATAGTCAGTTAAATGTCTGTTGAAGGAGCAGTATCAACAGATATTAAGCAGACAGTCCACTCAATTGGACCATCAAAATAAAGTGTTACCCATGTATGTTGTCCAATCCCATTTATTGACATCTTTAATAAAATATATTTTATTAGGAAACCTCAACGTCAAAGTGGAAGACTGGGACTCTCTCTGGTCTAGTAAATCATCAGTGTTCAGGACATCTGAAGGAGTCTTGAACCCCACAGCATGTCTTCATCCAGGAGACATTCTGCTCTTCACTGTGACCCAGCAGCACTATCCTCAGTATGATGTGTAAGTACTGTACATGCTGACCTGTGATTGATTCTCACTGTCCCAGAGCGTCACACCTGCTACTTCCACAGAGACAGCTTGTACAACACTAATGCTGCGTTCGACTGGGGAGCCTTCAGATTACTTCATCATGATCAGCTACTGGACAGATCTGCCCACTCTCTGTTCTCCATCAGCCTCCATGAGCCCGGCGTTTACACCTTCAAACTCAGCAGCCAGAAGCACAGACACATGGTATTATCATCTGATTTCATGTTTTAGGTCACAGGTGTCAAGTCCAGGTCCTGGAGGGCCGCAGCTCTGCAAAGTTTAGTTCCAACCCTGCTCCAACACATTTAACTGTAGGTTTTAAACAAAACTGAAGGACTTAATTAGTTTGATCCAGTGTGTTTATTAGGGTTCGAACTAAACTATGCAGAGCTGCGGCCCTCCACGACCTGAATTTGACATCTGTGTAATAGGTGGACAATGTTGCATATTTGATACCGAAATGCCTTACTATTTAGTCGAACTAAATGTGTGTTTGTGTGTGATTAGAGAGTTCTAAAGAACAGAT